CCCGAGAAGAAAAAAAAACCAAAGTAGCATTTTTCATTGGCTTCACATTCCTCTATATAGATGATTTATTTTCATTAAATCACTACTAAGTTTGGTTTCCGTGTTGAACGCATTCGTTCCATCGAACTTTAAATAAAAAGAAAAACGACAGATACAGTTAAGTGATCCTTAATATCTTGACTTTCATGTAGACGAAACGCGCGTCTGGCATACAAAACTATAAGCCATGTAACTTTGATGAGATTTTTTTTATTTCTTGAATTGATAATCAGGGTCGATTGAGTTATAAAAAATAAATGAGATATCGACATTGATTTCAAAAACTCCGTTATATCATTGCTAAAACTATCAATAATAAATATATGTATATATCTACATACTTTGAAACAAGAAACAAGTGTTAACCTCTAATATTTGAGCATTACAATTAAACATATAAGATATAAATAGATATTCTTCAACATATATTTTGTCGCTTTAAGTACAAAATTCAAATATATAATGCATATATACGTTTGTTAATACTTGTATCTAACACTATACATCGGCACAAAGTTTGTCAAAATAACCAGATAAAAGCAATAACATAACATAACATACATAAATGAACAGCTGTAAGGCATAATAACCTGTTTTCTTCAATAACCTTTGGAAATAACTTCAAACATTTGTAGCAATATCTTCAACTAAACATTGCATTATTAACTTTAAATAAGCATGAATACCTACAGTTTTCATCGAAGTCTTAAAAGATCGTTTACGAAGTGCATGCCTACTAGCATCCAAGCCATAATATTCTGCTTTAAAACCTTAAAAATCATTCCCCGTTCTTATTTCGTGCAGATATATACGACAAAAGAGACGATTTCAGCTTCCCAATTGTAAACTTTCCATTCCTATGTAGCAACATTCCAGCAGCGCCTGCATACGGTGTATATATCTCCCAGTTGAAACGATATTCCAGGGCTTGTATTTACTATCATGATTTCCTTGATGGAGAGTTGCTGCTCACAAAGAAGCTATTAAACCAAGAGTTCCAAGTGGTGAAGTTGAAATTATCCCTTCGTAAATTTTACGGACGCCATCACGAGTTGGTTGACCAATACGGAATATCCGTTTCATAGATGATAGCGGATGTTCCAAATGTCAAGTACAATCCCGTTCCCTTTTTCCCGAATGTGACTTACCGAATTAGACTTATTACCAGGTTTGTATTAACATGAACAACACGACGGGTGCCACATGTGGAGCAGGATCTGCTTACCCTTCAGGAGCACCTTAGATCACCCAAGTTTTTGGTTGGGTTTGTGTTGCTCAGTCTTTAGTTTTCTATGTTGAGTTTTGTGTACTATTGTTTGTCTGTTGGTCTTTTTTAGCCATGGCGTTGTCAGTTTATTTTCAACTTATGAGTTTGAATGTCCCCTTTGATATCTTTTGCCTCTCTTTATCATTAAGCTATGTCCAAAATGATGCTACATAAGCAATTATTAAAGTGTTACTTTTCCTTGTCTACTAGTGCACTATCATTGACCTCTGGTATGTGCTAAATTGGCTTGGGGAACGAATTATTCGTTTTTCTTTTCTATCCCTGCTAGGCATCTTATGTTTCAAATCTATGGCTCTGTGCCTTCTTGTTCGTTCAGTTGGAAGAGAGAGAGAGATGCTGGGAACGCATCCATTACGCTTGTGCAAAGCATCTTCCTGAGTTTTCTCTGTACATTGCACCAGTCCAATTGATGTATCTGGGGTACCCTCTAGTTCAAAAGGCAGTTATACATAATACTTTGATTCTTCTTCCCAGTCCGAATCAAGGCTGCTTGTGGATGGGAGGAAAAGACTGACATTTTATCAAAAAACTAATCCTAGAATTATAAGTAATGTACGCTCAACAGTTGGATATTGTGTTAACCTTTTTTATTACATTAAATTTAATGTAAACTATGTAGAACATATCAGGGCCTTTTATAGCTTGGTATTTGGTATGCGGTATGGGTTTTGCTCATTGTTGAAGGTAGACTATACTCTGAAATCAGTTATATAATATAATTTGCACCCCACATGGGATCTGAGGCTGGAAGGGGGAGGGGGGTTCCTTCGATCCTTTTGTGGTAGAGTTAGCAGCTGAGACATCCAGTATCCACCATTTTCTAAATGTTTGAATGATAAAAATACATACAAAGAATATACCTATAGCTTTCGCTATCAGGGTCCCGCTGTTTCATGGAGAAATAAATTGTTTTAACTGACATCTGAAGCATTTACGACTGATTGTTTTCGCACCTCAGAAAAGCTGACGTCTGCTAAGTTTCAGATACTTTTGATTAAATTAGCAACTTGTCATATATTTCTTAAATTTTCGACCTTATCATATATCATGAAGCTGGAAATATTGACCTATTCCAGCAGCTCATCCCTACCACTCGTCACATAGTAAGTTATCCCATGCCCATTCCTCCAAAGGCAGTAGTTATGATAATCCCAAAATGAAATAGTTGAATTTGCTCAAAATGTAGGTTGAAATCTAGCTTGAATGTCTATACTCTTTATATATAGTAATATTTCTTTTTCTTTCATTTTCGTATATCCCAATCTTACCAAAAACTAACTAAATGTTGTTTTTTTTTAATTTATTTCAGAAACTAAGGAATGTCAAGGACCAAATTGTCCCTCAATTGTGGAAACCGGAACTAATGTAATCGGATAACATGTTTTGGAAGAGTTAAAGTGTATGAGCTTTTGAGCCATTTGATAAAACATGCTTGCAATTAATTACTTGTGCTTTTATTTTAATGGAAACATAGATTTTGACATCGAAACAAATAGCGAGGCCATGACCTTGTTTTGGTTCAATCCCCTCAAATTTTGTTTGGTACCTTGATTTGTCTTCTTATTCTATTTATGAGATTTAAACATCGGTAAACTACTGTTGTCTTAAGGTTCAGGTGGACCCTTTGGTTAAAATGGCTGCGTTTTCACCTCAAAATTTACTCATAGTACAGACAAACCTGTGGATCTGGAAAAGTTTTAAGGCATAGCATGCCCTAGATAAATAAAATTCAAATGCATTTTATGTTTAAATTTAACACCTAACTGGATTTTGCAGTGCACTTTTTTTCGTCCCTGCAGAAGATGATAAAATTAACAAACAGTTGAGTTTACTTGATATGGTCCACTAAGGTACACAGTATTGTCCCTCTTTTGTCCATGTCAATCAATACAGTTCACTTCAATTATTACCTGGTTGGAAGTTCTCAAACCTCTTTCACAACTTTGTTTATTTTGGCACCTTCTGGAGGAATGAAAAAAAGTGCACTGCAAAATCCAGTTAAGTTTTTAATTTTCTAAAACATAAAAAACATTTGAATCTTATTGATCTAGAGCATGCTATGCCTTAAAATTTTTCCAGATACACAGGTTTGTCTGTACTCAGAATAAATTTTGAGGTGAAAATGCCCCTTAATTTACATATGTTCAGACTCATGAAACAATTGATACCACAGATACAGATACAGTTAAGTCTTAGTTTCAGTTTTAAACTACATCTAAAAATTAACAATGATGGTCAGTTGAGAATTAAACTTAGCAATGATTTCAGCTTTATAAGTATGAACTTGCCATTTTTCTAATTGTAGCAACCAAAATTCTGTCCTCTTTTCTTTGATTTTGACATCACCGAATGAGACTCTTCACCGAATTTGTACTTTAAAAAGCAACACGAAGGGTGCTACATGTGGAGCCGGAAATTCTTATTCTTCTGGAGCACCTGAGTTCACCCCCAGTTTTCGATGTGGTTGGTGTTGCTCAATCTTTAGTTTTCTATGTAGCGTTTTGTGGACTTATTCGTCTTTTGTCTTTTCCCCGTTTTTTTGTTTTGTTTTTTTCCCCTGGCATAGTCAAATTTTCTTCAACATATGGGTTTTGAATGTCCTACTGAATCTTCAGCCTCTTTTTTTCTGCATGTATATAGCAACATCCCAGCAGCACATGCATATGGAATATATTTCTCCTAGTTGATACAATTTTTCAAAGCTTGCATTTCCTATCATGATTTCCTTGATAGAAGGATGCTGCTTACAATGAAACTTTTTAGCCCAGGTTAATAGTGGAAAACTTGCAGTCATCCCTTCCAAATTTCACACCATCATGTGAGTTGGTTGATCGCTATGGATTATATGTGTCACTCACAGACGCTCATGGATATGTTCCATTTGTCCTAGTCAATCTCCCTTCCTCTTGTCCTCGTTTGAAAAGAAGCTAGCATAATACTTTAAATTCATGTAATGCTATATAACTGATATCCAATCATTAAATATTTTGGGTGACTTTGTTGAACTGACACATCCCATCAATCTTTAAATAAAGTATACCACAGATACAGTGAAGTTTACACTTTATTATATACCTCAATTAAATGTTTTTTTCACATTAAAGACGTAATATAAATAAGTGGTTTGATATCAATGATGTGTTGTCATACAGATAAGAGGTTTGATAAAACCTTACCAATTGATACTGATATCTGTATCCTCACGGATGCCTGAAACAGCAAGATTGCCTTTGATTGTATTACATAAAGGGATGAATATCTTAGTTGAGATTTCCCTTCGCAAAGTTTACGGATGCCTTCACGTGTTTGTTGACTGTTATGGAATATCTGTTTCACTGATGACGACGGATATGTTCTAGTTGTTGTTATCACAATCTGTCTTCTTTTCCTCGATTGTGACCTACTGAATTTGACTCATCACCGGGTTTGTACTAACATGAGCAACACTCCAAGTGCCACATGTGGAGCAGGATCTGCTTACCTTTCTGCAGCACCTGAGATCACCCAGTTTTTTTTTCTAATTTGTAGCCCTTATTCATATTTGACTGATTGTTTTTTTAAAGTTAAGGCAAACATATTAGAGTTGGCAACTTTTTTGTAATTTGTGGCCCTTATTTATATTTGACACTTTTTTTTTTAAAGTTTAAGCAAACATAAAAGAGAAATAAATACATTTTTTAATTGTAATGATTACAATTTATTTATTCTTGTAGCTATTCAGACCACAACTTGTGATGTAATACTTATAAAAATGTAATTCCGAAGTTAAAAGTCGAAATAAATACAAAGCAAATAAGTTATGTATGCAAACTTTACCAGTAATATTAGTATATCCGATGTAATATACCTACTATGGCATAGTAAAAACATTGCTAAAAAAGACAAAATAACATCCCCATAGAACTCTTTTCTGTACAATTCTTAATAAATTTTTCTAATTAATCATTTAGTAACTTTAGTCCAGTTCAAAATTGGACAAATCAACTAGTATTCTTATTTCTGTTGAATATTGCACATGACATCAATGTCAGTTTTCTTTGGGACACACAGAATTTGAAAGTTGTTCAACAAATCTGTTTCCATTTCGAGACAAATGTCCTTTTAACTATGATTATCATGAGTCATCAGCTGAACTCTGTTTCTGACCAGTTACTTTCCACATCACTACCATCAAAATCTCCCTGAAAAATTAAGTTAAGAAAAAAATCTTTACATGGATAACTGAAATCAATTACGGTTTTAGTTTGTGGAAACCGTCATTTAAATTGGAAAAAGATCTGATAAAAAAAACAGGGGCTAGCATGACGACAAGAAATAATATAAGTAATTTTAACAAGTACCCCTCATGAGACAAATGGTCCATATTTCAGATTTTTCTGATTATCGAACTCATCCATAGTTCTGATAAATGGAAACAATCATCTAAATTTGTAGAGGATCTGTCAAAAAATGAAGCTGTACCATTACAACAACTAAGTATAACATAAAAAATGACTGACAGGTCAAAAACATTATACCCACAACTTCCTTAACTGTAGTACAAGTTTTTGTCTTTGATTAAATGTTGTCTATCTGCTTAGATCAATAAACTCATATCATATTTATCAGGCTTAAATTTTGTACTTGTCTACAAAAGACTCATCAGTGACGCTCAAATCAAAAGAGTTAAAAAGACCAAATAAATTACAAAGCTGAAGAGCATTTAGGACTTAAAATTCTGAAATGTTTATTCACCATGAAACACCAGACAGACTCATTTCTATATTTTAATATTCAAAGGGTGTAGATCTTTGATAAAAGAGCCAAGTCTTATAAACCAATAGTCAGTTTCATCATTTAAACATTTGTCTGAAACAGATCTAAAAACAATCTCTGTTCCTTAGAAGCTTGTAATATTTTTATAAAAAATAGTTGACACAAACATACAAGTGATTTGTAAGTTATTTCCCTTTACATAGATCTATCTAATGGAAAGAGTGTGTTCCAGTTTTTTCGAACTATGATTACCGTAATTTTCAAACAGTCCTAGCTGTTGTTTCATACAGAAATAAAATATGATGTTGGAGTACATCACAGTCGTTGTCAACTAATCAAAATTATGGAATCCAATGAAACATACATGAAATGTAATTATATTGATAATATGATTGATTGTTGTTTGCTTAGTGTCTAGTGGCAAATATTTCATGCATAATCTGGACTAGAACAAATAAACAATAGGTATGTCCTGCAATAAGGGGTGGACAGGGATGATGGGCATGAAATTTGGAATGCAATTGGAAAATGAGGGTATTTGGGATAGTGACAGGAATTAAGCCTAGTAACAGGCCACCTACTGATCACTCAAAGAGTTGTTGTGAGGGTTCTTAACATGTAAACAGTGTGGCACTCTCTCTACATGTGGAATCAGATTTAACATCCTGATTCTGACTTAACACGGCTGCAAATTCTATACTTCCGGAACAGACAAACAGATAATGAATTTTGGCAAGCATTTTATTGCTGGTCTGAAGAAGACAAAGGGATGACCATACTTATATACCCCAGTCAACACTTGGGGTTTCTTGATAATATGGATATAATGTGCAGTGTTCCTGCCTGCCCTAAATAGAAGGGTGGCCCACCCTTGGTGCCCTTACCCCCGCCCTTCTGCCCTCAAAAGTAAAAGAATGCACCCCTCTGCCTTTTCAAAAAAATAAAATTTCAAAATTTTATGCCTACCGGCGTTTCCGGTAAAATTGTTACCTGATTGTGTAACACTAATTAACTGACAATGGGATTAAGTTAAATACCTAATGCTTTGGCAGTTTTATCACCTTTGTTAATGATTGTTTACTGCTAATTAGTGGATTTAAGATAATTGAACAAATACTAGATATTTAATACAGAATGAAATGTCCACATGTTATCCATTTGTAATGTTTATGTACAGCATGTACACCTGAAAAAATTTATTTCAGAAGGCATAACATAAAAAATAAAATCTTAAACAATTTTAAATGCATACATAGTTTTGACTTAATTGGTAAAAAATGTTTTGTTTCATAACCATGAGTATGAAATTTAAAGAGGAATCAAAGAAATTTGTACTTTGAACATAACAAGATTCACTTCCTGTTTTTAATACTTCTTGTATTTTATAATCCTCCTGACATTGAGCACTCAACAAATTTATTTTTAACAATGATGGAGAAAAAAGTAACTGTTTATACTTTCTGCAATATATTATTGCATCAATATAAATATGATCATCTCCTGTCTCACCTGTTATATTTATAAAACTCCTTACTGAGGAGCACTTTGGTGTGCACTTAAAAATACTTTTTTGTAACAATTTAAAAGATAATAAATAACTCTCAATAACATATATACTATATGTTTGAACAAGTAATTTAAATGTAGATAATTTAATTACATTCAACATTCAATTTTGCATATATAACTCCATCTTTCAAAACTACTTGTTTATTTTGGTATAAGTTATAAAACATTGAAATTTCTGATGATTATTTTCCATACCAAATGTACAAGTTTGTTTAGATTAACATCAGAATGAAATGCTTTGCTTCATGGTATGATAATTTGATGAAAAAAAATTCTTACCAACATCAAGAACACATTAATTTCTGAATATGGTTTAAATACAACTAATGTTCTCCAGCTGAGCCTAGCAATATTCAAGGTAATTTATACACTTTCCAACACTGCCCTTAAAATCTGGGTTATAACGCTAAAGTGCCCTTTCAGACAACTAGCACCCTTCTGCCCTGAGATTCAAGCTGGAACACTGATGTGATATCAAAAATGTTGTAATGTAGTGACCTAATTTTAACCTTTCTTGCAATTAACTAAAATACATAACCCCTCTGTTTCGCTTGTTATCTAATTTAGATCTAGTCCAAGGAAAACTGTTAGATTTTCTATTGATGAGCTTTCTATCTAATAAACAGATAAAAAACTGACTATTAGTTTCTCTTAGCTTAACCAATGAGAATTACTCACATCATTATCACTGCCTTCCATATCCTCTAAATCATAGGTACTCTCTAAACCAACATCATTATGTTTTTCCACTCTTTCCTTGCCTTCCCTTGCTCTTGTATTTGTAGGGTCAAGGCTGAAAAGGATAACAAATATTGCTGATTCAATGTTTGTTCCTTTTTAAAATTGTATGTCATAACAAGAATGTGCATAAACTTTGCATATATATTTCTCTTCAAAAATGTCACTAATTCATAAACATGAAAGTTGAAATTTTGAAACAGTATTCTTTTATTTGTCATATATTCAAATTTGTACTGCCTCATTCTGTATATTTAACCATTCATCTATCAATATCAAGACCAAAACATGATTGGCCTTTTGAAAGTCTTTTTATTGCTTTGAATTTTTAGGCTGAAAAGTATAAACAAATTAAATTTTTTTAAGAAGTTGCAAAAGTGCATATTTTTAAGAAGGAATTGGAGAAAAACAAGAAAGAGCACTGTAAAATATTTAGAAAAGAAGTGTAATTCATATGAGTGAATTTTCCTATTGACAGATCCAATGGTATGCATGATTTTTTTGTAATGTTTAGAAATTTTCAGTATATTTAAGGTGAGCTTTTCATCGTAAACAAATATCAAATATTACTGTATATTTAAAATGCATTGCCATGACCATAAAATGCCAATTATGAACTCGGCTAACATTTCCCTATCTTTTTTTCCTGTAATCAAAAATAAAAGCTGATGCCAAAATAACTCTATATGCAGTATGTAGTGTTGTTTTAGAATAATTACAAAGAATAGAAAATTTTTAATAAAATAAACTTTTTGATAAGTAAATGTGTTATCCAGGGTCCAGCAATTTGTATAACAAAATGTGTCATCCAGGGTCCAGCAATAATAAATATTTTGTATGACTGACCTCAAAGCTATATTATATTCGTCCAAAGCTTCAAGTGGTTCACTGATCTGTGCCAGGAAATCGCCCAATTGTTGGTGCAGTCGACATGTGTTGTGTGTATGCAGCTGTTTTCTTAACCTGAAAAAAATATACAGTTAGGAAATATGAGCATTATGAAATGTTTTATATTTTTAATAGTTAAGTAACTTATTAAAGATGATTTTAAAAATAGGAATTTCTATAGAAAATTTATTTCTGAAAATCCTTATATATATCTTGCAACTTAAAAACAAACAAACTAATATATTATTTTTATCTTTAATAGACTTTAATAAAGACTAAATACATGGCTTATAAGTTCCCTTTGAATGGCTTTTTTATAGTGAACAGGCTTTTTCTTCACGATTTTGGGGGATTAAAGGGTGCATGTTATACACATATAGATAATTTAAACAGGGAATGTATCAAAGAGACAACAACACAACTAAAGATCAGATAACTGCCCAAGGCCACCAATGGGTCTTCAACACAGCAAGAAAATCCCACACCCTGAGGCGGGCTTCAGCCAGTCCATAAACAATAATGTATACTAGTTCATCAAAATGGACACCACACTCTTATTCAAAACATACAAATGAAACAAAATTTAAAAAACACACAAGACTAAAAAAGGCTAGAGGTTCCTGATCTCATGACTTGGGACAGGCACAAATATGGCAGGGATAAATATGTCTTTTGGGATCTCAACCCTCCCCGATACATTTGGCCAATGTGGAATAAACAGCAATATGCACAGTAAAACTCAGTTTAAAGAAGTCTTAGTCCACTTTTAACACATACACTGCTGACTTGCAGCTGTCTTCATGTAACAGTTGGTATTACACAAGTTGATCAGTTTGGTTGAATGATACAAGATACAATTTGATAAATTCTTTATCTAACTCACTGCAACACTTATAGTAAGGTTACAGTTAATTGAGATATTGTCATCTACATCTACACCAAAATTTGCCATTTTAGAATATAATGCATTCTGGGTAATATTTCCTAAAGTGTACAACAAAATGTTGTGATTGGTTAATAATGTCCAGAACAATGAAATTCAACCAATGGTGTGACTTTATTCTCATATTTGTGAACAAGCAATGGAATTACCCATAATCCTTTAGATTCTGAAACGGATACAATTTTTTTTTATGAATACTTAGACCTACATCTCAGCTGAAAGGGCAAATTTGCCGTTTCAGAATCAAATAAATTCTGGGTAATTGGCTTACAACGTCCTAAACAATGGGAATTCAACCAATGACATGACATAATTTTCATTTACCCACAATCCTCTAGATTCTGATATAGGGAATTGTATTTCTTTTTTTTTTTTTTAATGAATAATACTAACATCTCAGTGCCTTTATCATACTGGTGATCTCTAAGTAATATTTCTGCCATTACATAAACTGGTTCTAGGTAAGATGGATCTAACTTCATTGCTTTCTCTAAATAGGGTTTGGCCTGAAATCAGAAATTATTTAAAGACAGGTATATAATAATACTCGTTTTAGGTTGTAGCAATAGTTTTTTTAAATCACTTTTGCAGCAAATTCAAATATCATTTCATAGCAAAGCTTTGTATTCAATGTTGTACAAACATATATAAAATAAAGTACGGTAACAAGAAAAATTTTGTTTCAGTGGTTGGGTCTTTTTTTCAACATTTTTGTAACAGTTATCACACCCTACAATTTGGCCAGAAAATCAAAAGATAAACAGTGTATTTCACTAAAATTTATTTACAACCACTATCATGCCTTAAAGAAATGCTGGAAAGGTAAACCAGAAAAAAAAAACATTAATTCTTCAATCAAGCTATCATAATGTGAACTAAAATATCATTAAGATATGTGTCACTTCAAAATCATTTATTCTAACAGTTTGAGATTATTTCACACTTAGGAAAAGATAAATCAACTTCTTATTTATGTTCCTTACTGCAACATTTTTACTAAATACCCCAAAAGAAAAATATTTCAGAAAAAGATATTACTATTTTATTGAATACACAAAAGCAGAAGAAAAAGTTTCAGGGACAATTTTAATCAAATTAATTTCCCCATGTATCCCAAGTCACAGCACAGGAATTGAATGTTTTTTTCACATTTCTTACTACCATGTTAGAATTGCAAAATATTCAGCATGGGAAATTAACTCACAATTCTGAGAAAATACAATGCAGATATCTTCCCAGTTCTGCCAAAAAAAAAAAAAATATAAAATTGAAAATATTTACCTTTGCAGACATGTTTGGTTCATTTGTCAATACTGATGCATAAATCTGAAGAAAAAAATGTAGAAACCAAAATACAATATATGGAATAAATTAGAATAATGTACAAGAGAGAGCCAATTAGAGCTCTAAAATGGATGCATCATACACCTTGCACCTATGTATAGTATGGAGTTAACTTCTTGGGTGAAAGGTCACATCATCAAATATAACCTCTAAATAACACAACTTTGTGAGAGAAAAACATTTTAGTTAATTAAAAAGCTTCAGTCCAAGTTTCATAAAATTCCATGAAGGTTTGACAAAGCGACCTGTGGAAAGTTTGATTTCTGAATTATAAGTAGAACAAGTTTACCTTGAAACCACATTTTAGTTCTTTGAATATCAAGGAAACTCAATTTCTTCTAAAATGATAAAAATTAAGATATTTTGTCTCCAAATAGCAATCAAGTTTTTATTTATTCAAAATTTTTCTTAAAATTTATTGTAGTTAAATCCCAAATATCACAATTGATACCAGTTTTCATGGATATCATCATAAGAGAAAATTCTCAAAATTAAATTCTCAACAAAAAATCATTTTTTAGTCACTTTGAAAGCAGTATGTGAAGACAGAACAATACAAAATACCCTCAAAATAGCAATTTTCTCAAACTATGAAAATTTGTACAGGTACCAAAGAAAATTAAATCAATCTACAAAACATTGCCTATACTTACAGTTAAAGTTCTAGGATTAGATCCGATTGTTTTTATTGCTTTCCCTGCACAGGCTAAAGCTTCTCTTGTTCTATGTAATGACAGGTAACATGAAATCAAACCTAAAAAAGAACAAACAGTGAAACCTGTATTAACTGAATTCCTGTTATGACAGAGGTATTCATTGAGATTAGGCAGTTGTTTCAAGTACCAAGACAAAATAAAGAATGGTCCATTGTAATTGATCAGATTAAACTGGGTTCCAGTTTACACAAAATATGAATTAGACAGGTTTCACTATATACATATATGTTATACGGTTTTGTAAATAACTACCATTCATCAAATTTCAATAGAAGTACCTTCTGATCCCTCTCCCCAAACAATAAAGATAGAAGTGTTGTACCTGATGAGCCAGTTTTGTTTGCATATTTTGTTTTGGTATTTGATGTTACAAGTTAACCTGAGTTTACATTATCAATTGAATGAGATTTCTCTTAATTTCTGTAGTAACCAGAAGAATTCTATGTTTGCTTTTAAGAAATATTTGCATCATATTAAGTATCTCATTCATAATTCTGTTCAGTAGCCACAGATGAATGCTTCCTCATACGCCCCAAAATTTAGGTATATAATTTTAAAATAACATCAAAGCTGAGCATACCATGGTAAGCTTCATATCTGTGTGGTGCATGACGTAAAGCTTCCTGAAAGTGTAGTGATGCATCTTGGGATTTCTTTAATTCAAATAATGCTGTGCCTTTCAGTAAATATGCCTCTACATTGAATGGATCAATAATGCTAGCCTGAAAAAAAATAAATCTACATAACAAAGAGGTCAAGCCATTCAGTAGATATTCTTCTATCATTCTGGTGCAATAAATAGCCTGAAAATGAATTAATCCACATAACAAAGAGGTCAGGCCAATCAGTAGATATTCTTCTCATATTCTGGTGCAATAAAACTGGTACCATTAAGACTTCCACTGGGTCAATTACTCTGCGAGTCGACTGTTAGTCACTGAGTGTTTCACAAACATAGTAGTCAGTTCTTTAGTACATGAATGCATATACAGAATTTTTTTTATTGAAATTTGCTGTTAAAAAATTTGGAAACCATATTAAATACAGGAATGTATCTCCCTCATGTAAAGCCCTGATTCCTTGTCTGTATTTAAGACATATACTTTTGTCCTTTTTGGTTTTGTACGAATTATATTGAATGTACTCATTTTTGATTTCCAAATATTTTGGCCTAGAGCATGACTTAAAAGTCATTAATTGATGAAAGGCGCATTTAGACCAGTGAAATTGGCACTGTTAATGATATTTTACAATGAAGTTATCAGCTAGTCTGCTCTTATAGTGATCACTGTATTACTAAACAGTCAACAATATGATTGGGTTTAACACCACTTTTCACACAACTGCACAATGTATAAGATGTTAATAACTGATTAATTATCAACAACAAAATTTCTTCGTTTAACATTTTTTGTTTAATCAACAATCACCACTTCACTTTTCATAGACTCCGTATTTCTTCTAAAATTCATAATCAAGCATATTGGAAATTTACTATCTTGTTTGCAAAAATGAAAAAAATTAAAGAAGATCACACTAAACAATGATAATCATACCATTAAGTGAAACATTTTAGCGAGGGTTTTTTTCCCTCCTAATTTCATAATTATGATAAAATCACAAAAATATGGGCTGGCCTTAATTCAATCTTTAAAGAAGATCAGAATTAAAGACAAGAAAACACGAAAAAGTTAACTTCGCCAAAAGGTTAGGCCTCTGAAATCGTGAAATTTAAACTATTAAAATAATAAACCGCTTTAGAGTATCATGATCCAAGTTATTAAGAAAAGTTGTTAAAAATTTGAAATATTGAATTTGGTAAGCTAAAGCAAATAATAATTGCTATGCAACAAACCTTTTGAGCAAAGTAAACTGTCCTTGTTCTAGCAACTTTTCTTGATATGAGAGAGTAATAACCAAAAGAAATCCATGGCTCTGGAGCCTTGTCTGTGACCTTCATCAACTGTTCTGATAGTCTGTAACAAAGAAATTGATTGGTGGATTATATCAAACAGAAATCCAATGGTCTGATGTCTAGTATGTGACCTTCAACAACTGTTCTGATAATCTGTAACAAAGAAATTGATTGATGGATTATATCCAATAGAAATCCATGGGTCTGATGTCTTGTCTGTTACCTTCATCAACTGTTCTGATAATCTGTAACAAAGAAATTGATTGGATGATTTTATCCAATAGAAATCCATGGGTCTGATGTCTTGTCTGCTACCTTCATCATCTGTTCTGATAATCTGTAACAAAGAAATTGATCAGAGGATTTTATCCAATAGAAATCCATGGCTTTGGTGCCTTGTCTGTAACCTTCATCAACTGTTCTGATAATTTGTAACAAATAAATTGATTGGCGATTATATCCAATAAAAATCCATGCTTCTGATGTCTTGTCTGTCACCATCATCAACTGTTCTGATAGCTAACATGTTACAAAGAAATTATTTGATGGATTATATTCAATAGAAATCCATGGCAAGAGAGCCCTGTCTATAACTTTCATAAACTGTTCTGATAATCTGCAACAAAGAAATTGATTGGTGGATCAGTGTCCCAGGCAGAAGGAAATAAGAGTGTCGCTGTGCCCTGCCCCTGTGCCCTTTTTATGCACCCCTGTGTCTTTTTGGAGAATAGGTAAAAAAAAACTATCTTTTCTTCCTTCATTGTTGCCTTTCACCTGAGTTCTTTATTAAATATGACACTTGTTACCTGCTTATAATCACCAATTAATTAGTCAATTACTTGCTCAGATGAAATTTACGTCCCTCTCTAAAGATCTCTAATCACTGAGCCCTGAAGCAACAATCTTCAATTAAAGAACCTTAGTGAGCGCGCTCACATACCCCACGTCCCCACATTGTCATTGGAGAAATAAAATAAGTGTAAGAAAAAAAAATTGTATCAGAAAAAAAAATTGAATCATAATTTCCTGTCAATATGCACATCTACATAGTATGTCCTTATTATCTACACAGTTTCATGAAATTCTGTTGTGTGGTTTGAGAGGAGTTGCGATGACAAAAGGTTGCAGTAGTATATTGGGCAAATAAGTTCAAAGGGGCGTAACTCCTGGAAAAAAAATTGAATCGTAATTTCCTGTCGATATGCACATCTACGTAGTATGTCCTTATTATCTGAAAAGGTTTCATGAAATTCTGTTGTGTGGTTTGAGAGGAGTTGCCATGACAAAAGGTTGCAGTAGTATATTGGGCAAATAAGTTCAAAGGGGCGTAACTCCTGGAAAAAAAATTGAATCGTAATTTCCTGTCGATATGCACATCTACGTAGTATGTCCTTATTATTTGAAAAGGTTTCATAAAATTCTACTGTGTGGTTTGAGAGGAGTTGCGATGACAAAAAAGTTGCAGTAGTATATTTGGCAAATAAGTTCAAAGGGGCGTAACTCCTGGAAAAAAAATTGAATCGTAATTTCCTGTCGATATGCACATCTACGTTGTATGTCCTTATTATCTGAAAAGGTATAATGAAATTCTGTTGTGTGGTTTGAGAGGAGTTGCGATGACAAAAGGTTGCAGTAGTACATTAAAGTAAATAAGTTCAAAGGGGCGTAACTCCTAGAAAAAAAATTGAATCGTAATTTCCTGTCGATATGCACAACTACATAGTATGTCCTTATTATCTAAAAAGGTTTTGTGAAATTCAGTGTGGTTTGAGAGGAGTTGCGATGACAAGAAATAGGACTGACGGACTGACGGACGGACAGACAGACGGACGGACAGACGGGTCAAAAACATTATACCCTCCGCAACTCGTTGCGTGGGGTATAATAAAGTCAGAATATTGATTTCAAATGATCTTCTGACATGGTATAATCCAGGATTATATCAAATAGAAATCCATGGCTATATAGTGCCTTGTGAGTATCCTTTATAAATCTGTTCAAATAAACTATAACAAATAAAAGGAGTGATAGATATTATCAAATTTCAGCTGTGGATGATTTTCTGTCATGTTCATCAACTGTTCAAACACTAAGGGTGCCACATATGGAGCTGAAACTGCTTATCCTTCCAGAGCACCTGAGTTTATGCCGTTTTTTGATGGAGTTGATATTGCTCAGTTGATAGTTTTCTATGTAATGTTGTGTTATTGTTGTTTGTTTTTCATTGTTTTTATTTGACTTAGGAATTTTGATTGCCCCCTTGGTATCTTTCACCCCCTCACAAAAAAAAAAGGGAAAATTAAAGAACCTTAGTGAGCGCGCTCACATACCCTACGTCCTCACATTGTCATTGGAGAAATAAAATATGTGTAAGAAAAAAAAATTGAATCATAATTTCCTGTCAATATGCACATCTACATAGTATGTCCTTATTATCTACAAAGTTTCATGAAATAATGTTGTGTGGTTTCAGAGGAGTTGCGATGAAAAACTGTTGCAGAAGACATTGAAGCAAATAAGTTCAAAGGGGCGTAACTCCTAGAAAAATATTGAATCATAATTTCCTGTCGATATGCACATCTACATAGTATGACCTTATTATCTACAAAGTTTCATGAAATTCTGTTGTGTGGTTTCAGAGGAGTTGTGATGACAAACTGTTGCAGTAGTACATTGAAGCAAATAAGTTCAAAGGGGTGTAACTCCTAGAAAAAAAATTGAACCGTAATTTCCTGTCGATATGCACATCTACATAGTATGTCCTTATTATCTAAAAAGGTTTCATGAAATTCTGTTGTGTGGTATCAGAGGAGTTGCGATGACAAACTGTTGCATAGTACATTGAAGCAAAAAAGTTCAAAGGGGTGTAACTCCTAGAAAAAAAATTGAACCGTAATTTCCTGTCGATATGCACATCTACATAGTATGTCCTTATTATCTAAAAAGGTTTCATGAAATTCTGTTGTGTGGTATCAAAGGAGTTGCGATGACAAACTGTTGCAGTAGTACATTAAAGGAAATAAGTTCAAAGGGGTGTAACTCCTAGAAAAAAAATTGAATCGCAATTTCCTGTCGATATGCCCAACTACATAGTATGTCCTTATTATCTAAAAAGGTATAATGAAATTCTGTTGTGTGGTTTGAGAGGAGTTGCGATGACAAGAAACAGGACTGACGGACTGACGGACGGACAGACGGACAGACGGATGGACGGGTCAAAAACATTATACCCTCCACAACTCGTTGCGTGGGGTATAATAAGAACCAACAAGTCTAAGGACTGTAAATTTAGAAATTATTGCGAGCATTTATTGTGATTGTAGGAAAATCTGCAATCAGATATCATTATGCGAAACTCACCCAGTCTCATTAATCACGTTAATAAAAACCTCACAATTATTTCTAAACTTACAGTAAACTCAATCAAATAAAAGAACAGAGTTTCAATTTCCCCTGTGGTGCACATATTTTATATTTCCAAGGGGCATAACTCTTTTAAAAAAAGTCGATAGTCCACCATTATAGGACTTGTCCAAGATATTGCTGATATTAACCTATAGAATAAGTTTTATAAAAATCTGGCAAGAATTGTACCTGTGAGAGTGCTAACGAGGCCATTTTCCATAAATTTAATATTTCCAAGGGGCATAACTCTTTTAAAAAATGTCGATCGGCCACCATAATAGAACTTGTCTGAGATATTGCTGATATTAACATATAGTATAAGTTTTATAAAAATCTAGCAAGAATTGTGCCCCCGAGAGCGCTAACGAGGCCATTTTCCATAAGTTTAATATTTTCAAGGGGCATAACTCTTTGAAAAAAAGTTGATCGGCCACCATTATAGAACTTGTCCGAGATATTGCTGATATTAACCTTAAGAATAAGCTTTATGAAAATCTGGCAATAATTGTACCCATGAGAGAGCTAACAAGGCCATTTTCCATAAATTTAATATTTCCAAGGGGCATAACTCCTTTTAAAAAAGTCGATCAGCCACCATTATAGAACTTGTCCGAGATATTGCTGATATTACCTATAGTATAAGTTTCTTAAAAATCTGGCAAGAATTGTACCTGTGAGAGCGCTAACGAGGCCTTTTTCCTGAAGTTCAATATTTCCAAGGGCATAATTCTTTTTAAAGAAGTCGATAGACCACCATTATAGAACTTGTCCGAGATATTGCTCATATTAACCTATAGTATAAGTTTTATAAAAATCTGGCAAGAATTGTACCTGTGAGAGCGCTAACGCCCCGTATTTCCATGTCCCCAGCAACGAGTTACGCGGGGGACAATAAATCCCAGATACTGAAATACTACATATATACATATAAATACAAGGAGGAATCTTATATAATAGGAGACTTCCGGGATAGTTGTTGTTTCAATGTGGAGATTGAAAAAGTCGTATCACATGACATTTTTCTATGCACATACCTAGATTTTTACACAGACGAATAAGGAAATGTTATGATTTGATTAGATTTCCACTTAAAAAGTTGACCACACTGTTCTGGTTCGACTTCCTCACACTGATGAAAACCTACCTTAAGGTGACATCATCCATATGTTGATGTTTTCATGCAGACAATGTTAATCTAATCTCAACCTGCAAAGATATCTGACATTATCATGCGACGTTTGTGTATAAAATTAAACCTGACACGGTAAAACAGACTGAAGTATTCTATGAAAGAGATCTTACCTTTGTAATTCCATTGTTTTCTTTTCTTTGGCAAGTAAGTAGGAAAATAAATCCATATTCTTCAGAAACAAAGGATCTAGCTGATGTGACTGAAAAAAAATGTAAAACAAATTTTGTTATTAGTTTAAATATACATGTAATGAAATTACTGCAAATACAGAAATTTATTGCATGCATTTGTTATTGCAATTTTAAAGAATGGATAAAAATGTGAGATTATTTTTTGTGATTTCAGGAAAATCTGCATACAGAGATATGTGCAAATTCAGAATGCGTGTTCTTAGAATTGCAGTTTTATATTAATGGGGGTTCCAGAAACAAATACAAAATAGAGATTGAAAGCATCAAACAAGACTTTTATTTTATTTTCTTACTATACATGAAACTTTAATAAATTATTGGTCGAATGAGTAGGATACTTGAAAGAAAAAGAGGCAATTCATAAAACTTTATTTACACCAAGATGTTGTTAAATGAAATTGGATACCCTGCATTTATCATGCTTTTCAACAACTGGTTAAATCGCTAAAAGACCCCCTCCCAAATTATTGAGAACTATCATTGACATTCTGCATTAATAATATCTTGATGTCAATTAGATATACCCATTCTGGCGAATGCCCTCAAGGTGCATCTAATACTTGTTGCCTTTGTTTTATTTCAAACATAAGTTTTCTATTATGACATCTTGTTTCAATACAAACACTTCTTATTTCTTAATGCATACTCAAATACTAACATTGCTAAGTAACAAATAATAATCTTGTCAAAATTCAATGATAGTTCAGTTTCCATTGTAAACATGCCTCTGTAATACTAATATAACTTGTGACATTGTCCCACACCAAACAGAAATCTTGTTAATTCTATGCTTTTATCTCCACTTAAATTTGACTTGCATTGACTATTCACTGATTCTGTTATGTTAGCTGACTATCTAGTATGGGTTTTGGCTCATTGTTGAAGGTTGTATTATGACTGATTGTAGTTGCTAACATCATAGTCATTTGGAATCTGGTTGAAAGATGTCTGATTGGGCATCAAACCACATTTCCTTATTTTTATATTGTTTTTTTTATAAACAATTTTTTTCCAAAGTTCGTTCATTTAGCAAGTTTCATAGAGTTTCATAGAATCAATTGAAATAAGAATTTAAGATTGGTTGAAATCAAATCACTTTAATATTTTACCATGATTACTGTAAATTCAGAAATTATTGCGAGGTTTTTATTAATGCGAATAATGCGAGTGGATGAAGATTGCAATAATAAGAACTCGCATACTGATATCTGATACTTATAATTGTATGCAGATTTTCCTGAAATCGCAATAATTAATCTCGCATTTTAGTCCATTCTTCAAAAATCGCAATAATAAATGCACGCAATAATTTCTGAATTTACAGTACGAATTTATGCCTTTTATTTTTAAAACAAGTACATAAACTGACTAATGTCCCCTGTTGAATGAATTATGGTCTCATTTTTCTACTTTAGGTATCTTCAATACAAATGCCTTATTCATAGTTTTAACGGCCATCATACAACATCTTGCCAAATAAATAGTCTTGTCTTACCCTTTGGAACCCTGTTAAAGCTGCAGTATCATTCCCTTCATAAAATCTTGCTTCTGCTATACTATTCACTATATATACATTGTCTTTTAAACACATTTTCTGGTCCATTTGTTTAAATGTTATAATTGCATTGCCATATTCTCTTGTAGCTAAAAATGCTTGACCTTTGATCCATGAAGATAACCTGAAATAAAATTAACTGATGGTATACAAATCATTTTTTTATTTTCAACGAAAAGGTATTCATAGTGTGTTTGCTGAGATCAAGCATTAAAATTTTGTAAGATAAATTTCAATAAACATTCAATATTAATAACCATGATAGCTATCTCATTATTTTAATATAATCAGATTAATAAACTCTTCTTAAACGTTAATGGTCACTGTCTAAAACTGTTAATGAAAATGATCATGTATGGGTAACTTTCACTTATTATTTCTCAAAAGAAATTCACAATACTTTATAAGACAAATTAGCAACTTGCATGAATAGCTAGTCATGCTAGTTCATGTAACTGTGGATTAATTTTTTTTCGTGGGTATCAATTTTCGTGGATTGAGGAAAACTTTCATTTTTCATGGATATTTGATTTCGTGGTTTTGTCATTCTCTGCATACAAAGCCTATAGAAATTTGTTATCCTTTGAACATTTGAATTCGTGGTTCACCTGTACCCACGAAATCAACGAAAATTGGTATCCAACGAATAAAAATGAATCCACAGTAAATGTTCGCTTCATTGTTATTTGTCATGTTTGTGGGACAGCATTTTCTTTATTTCGTGCGTAAAGGTAAACCAAAAATACAAATGTTCAACATGGTCCAAATTTTCTAAAGGCTTCTATGCAGACTTTGGCAAAACTCTAAAATCAAATATCCACGAATATACAAATATTCCTCAATGCACGAAAAATTAGAACCCATGAAAAAAAATTAATCTGCAGTATTTCTTTAAATTTGTAAGCTCTTTGGAGTTTTCCTAGGCTGTGCCAATAAAAGGTTTCTAACAAACACTTACATTTTTCAATATTTTCATTTAGTATAAGTACTGGTATACTTCTTGTATGATATTTAAAAATTCTTGTTATTTCTACTTTATTTTTCATACAGTTAAACATTCATTTCTTTAAATACATTTTATATAAAATATCCAGAGACATCTTTTTCCACCATAAATTCAATTTTTGTTGAAGCATTTTAAAGATTCATTGATTAATTATTGTAAAGATTTCCTTCAACAATAAAAGTTCAGTTACTTTTTTATATATGTATTTTAAACCATGGTGTTGTCCTGTTTTTATTGAACATATGCTTTTATATTGCCCTGTAGTATCTTCTCGCTCTTTTATATTGCCCTGTAGTATCTTCTCACTCTTTTATATTGCCCTGTAGTATCTTCTCGCTATTTTATATTGCCCTGTAGTATCTTCTCGCTCTTTTATATTGCCCTGTAGTATCTTCTCGCTCTTTTATATTGCCCTGTAGTATCTTCTCGCTCTTTTATATTGCCCTGTAGTATCTTCTCACTCTTTTATATTGCCCTGTAGTATCTTCTCGCTCTTTTATATTGCCCTGTAGTATCTTCTCACTCTTTTATATTGCCCTGTAGTATCTTCTCGCTATTTTATATTGCCCTGTAGTATCTTCTCGCTCTTTTATATTGCCCTGTAGTATCTTCTCGCTCTTTTATATTGCCCTGTAGTATGTTCTCGCTCTTTTATATTGCCCTGTAGTATCTTCTCGCTCTTTTATATTGCCCTGTAGTATCTTCTCGCTCTTTTACATTGCCCTGTAGTATCTTCTCGCTCTTTTATATTGCCCTGTAGTATCTTCTCGCTCTTTTATATTTCCCTGTAGTATCTTCTCGCTCTTTTATATTGCCCTGTAGTATCTTCTCGCTCTTTTATATTGCCCTGTAGTATCTTCTCGCTCTTTATATATATTGCCCTGTAGTATCTTCTCGCTCTTTTATATTGCCCTGTAGTATCCTCTCACTCTTTTATATTGCCCTGTAGTATCTTCTCGCTCTTTTAATTGTGAATTCATTGTTAGTTCAATATAATGTAAAGTTATGAAAGTTAAATTCAGAAATTATTGCAAGGTTTTTATTAATGCTAATAATGCAACTGAGTGAGTATCTTAATAACAAGAAATCACATTCTGAAATCGGATTCATATATCTATAGTCCTTTTTTTTCTGAAAATTGCAATAATTAAAGTTCATGAGAAAATTGCAATAATAAATGCTCGCCATAATTTCAGAATTTACATTTACTGACAATATACCAACCAGTCACATGATGCACCATGTGGTAGTCCATTCATTACTAAAGCAGCAACATCAGCACCTTTTACTCCCAAGGAAAGTAAGCCTTGAATTGATTCTAAAGAAAATGGACATTCCCTGAAATTGGATATTAAATATAAATGATTTAGAATTATTTTTACAAATTTGACCTGTTCATGCATGATGTTAAGAGTTTTGAAAATTGAAAGATGTTTTGTTATAGGTAAAACTTTGTTTCAAATCAACTTGTATAACTGTCATATTTGTTTTTCCTTTATCGTTTTAAACATAAATCAAGCTTTTGGTTTTCTTGAAGTGTATAACATTTTGTCATGCCCTGCGGCTCTTTTCACAAAAAGAGTGAAAATACTCATAAGTCATACACATTTCAGTATAACTTACGATCAATTTTAATCGTAAGATTTTTTGTGAAAAGAGTCGCTGGTCTTTTACAGCTTAATTTTTAGTATGTGTTTTGCTTATTATTGAAGGCCTTTCATTGCCCTAAAGTTGTTATCATCCTCATACTTTGGTCTCCAGTGATAGTTATCTCATTAACAATCATACCACATCTCCTTATCTATATTGTATGTTATTTCAAAATAAATGAAGGTAGAAAATATTTGTTCATGTTACAAATGAAAAGAATGTCTTAATAATAAAGACACCAGATAAAATGAATAAAGTAATAAAATTATAAAACCCAATCAGGAGAAATTCATTAAGTAATAAGCATGATGTAAGTAGGAGAAGACTTGTGAACGAACCATTTGTCATAGTTTTGGACAATAAAATTATGTTTAAACTAAGATCGATGTAAATTTTCCTCTATCAGTGGTTACCCCATTTTGAAAGAGCCTTCCCCTGGAACCATGTATGTTTAAATGTAACAGCCCTTAGATGGGGTATGTCGCCCTCATACACTTTTTACTGGAAAATCTACGCTGGAAATACTGTAAACCAACTAATTTTCGCGACATTCGCGAGTAAAAAAATAACGTGAATATGTAAAAATAGGATCTTTCTTATATAACTACATCAAGTAGTTTGAAAATCATGAAATTAAATAGTCGCGTAGTGGACTAGAATTGAATAAACCCGAATCAAAGTATCCGCGAAAATAAGTTGGTTTACAGTAGATCTGATGTTTTTTTATAACATTATAGGTTTAGTGTACATGTACCTTATAACTTCTTTATAACTAGTGATAGCAGATCTGTCCATTCCAGCCATGACATAAAGTTTAGCTAAAGCTACATTCACCTTCGCTGTTCTCTGTTTAGAACTGATTCCTTCTAACTAAAATTTCAAGGCAGATTTAATGAATATTTCACCTATTTACAAGATCTACAATTAGCCATATCTTAAAAATTTATGTACAAATCATATCATAAAATGTTATCTTCTCTTTTCTCATTCAGCACTGGGTTTTTCAAGGCAGGGATTTTATGAAATTGATATATTTAAAACATAAGATGACATAGAGTCGATCCGGGTAATTTCGTACAGGCGGGTAATTACCGTACATATTACATTTCGCTTGTTTTTCTGATAAAATTGAGAAATAAAGTGTGTTTTAATATTATTTACTGATGATAAGAAATGTATAACCTTGTATGTTCACGTTTTTACCATTTTCTATCATAGAATATGTACACATTTGCCGTTTGTCGGAAAGTTTTGTTCGCGGGCGTTTTGAGAAGATGATCTCATCCAAAAAGTCACCAGATTTGTGTAAATTTTAAGTTTGGTTAATTTAATGTAAAAACTTTCTATTTTAATCGAAATTTAGAAAACTGATGGAAACTGAATGCCAGAAATAGTTTTGAATTGACAGATACTTTTCCGTGTAGTATAAGTGCAACAATTTCCAATAAAACGGACTGGAAGTGGGTGTACGGTATTACCCTACAGGATATTTTAAATACAAATGGACGGAGTCTAATATCGTACACGTCAGCTCTTAAATATGTTAATGTTCATTAAGTGATATAAATTTTGACTTAGCTTTGCTTATATCAATAATTTTTGTTAAATAATCAAATTAATTGCAAAATAAAATAAACAGAAAAAAATACATAAAACAACATCAATTCGATATGAGAAGAAAGAGGTCAAAATATATTAATTTTTATTCTATGAACCACGATTCCGCTGCCAATTGATTGATAGAGATAGATGTTGACGTGTTTGCAAACTATTCCTCCTTAATTACGAGGGTCCTCTGTGCCCCAGTGGTCTAAGTAGTCAGTCATCTCATATATCGCTAGCCAGTCAACACTAAAGTTGTGACTTCAAACCCCGCATATGATTGGTAGGTGTGTTCGAATATTAGTTGACTAGGATTGTCAGTTTTCCTCCCGAACAATAAAACATAAAAAACTCTACCACAAAAAGTTGGCAAACAGCTATGAAATATGTTAAATATAGACGTTATTAAGAAAATGTTCCACGAAAAGCTACTGGAACAGTTGAAGATGATGCTTTAATTCAAGAAGACCAACTGACTTAGAATTAGTAAAAACTGCTGCAGCCTCTCAGCTTACAATGCGGGACTTGATTGTAAAGACTGGTTTGCTCAGAATTAGAATTCTTTTCTGAATAGATTGACATGTCTTTCTTCAGACTGAGCTAGAACGATAAAAACCGGATGAAGGTATCTGTCTATATAATACAAAGTATGTAAATATCGCGAAAATTTTTTTGGACCTTTTTTTGGCTAAAAAACATAAAATAAGTGTAAAATGCACTTTTTTAACAGTTCCTGACGTGGGGCATGTATATTTTATAGTTAAAGTGTAAGGGTTGGACATTTTTGATGCCGTACTCTCCCCATTAATTGTCTATTATAAAATGATTGGATGGATCCGTAGCTATGTACTAATATATTTGATGTGGGACTTGTCAGTAAAAAAATTGACATGGAAAATTCTCGTTTGTTGTATGTTTAGTTAGCATAACGTCACGGATTTCTTGTTGTAAACAAGATATACGCCGGGCTATTCAATGAAATTTACAATACGACCAACACGAGTTAAGAAAGACAAACAAGCAATTTTTATCCAAATGTTTGGTTGAAATGTTTCACCCAACAAGGGAAGTGAGGGGTTCCAAATCAACCAAAGGCTACAAATGAGTCTGAAATGACAAGGAATTTATGAATGATGGTCGACAAATGGAGACATAAAGACCACACCCAACAGGCAGGTTGCAGTCAGGCCTTGAAAAAAATATTCATTTTATCAGTTCGACGAAACAGACATTCCGGTCAGATATGGGATTTACATGCAAACCGCCGGCCCCAAAAAAATTACGCCCGTTTTTTTATTCATCATGTTCATTTAATGCTAAATAATTCTGTTAGAAATTTTTGTTTCTAATAGCAAAAAAAGTGGACAAGATTATTGTTTTCAATCCAGATACGGCCAGAATTTTTGTTTAAGGCAAAAATCAGGGTCAGAATTTTTTCTCTCAAACATCTCAGACTGCCCCCTCAAATCAAATGGTCCGTACCTTAGACTTTAAATCTATCTAGAGCTTATTGACTGGGGACCATTATTCAGCTATGTTATTAATAGGCTGGGGCGTGTGGGGTTAAACATGTTTTCATAGGTAAATAATATTGCTGTGGAACTTTTTTTCATGAGAGTGTAATAGAGTATTACTTTCTGTTGGGTGAAATTGTGAAATAGAAGTCAATAAATACGTTCTTGCTCAATCCTTTGTCGCTTTGAAGGTGCCATGCTTGTCATCCTCAGTCTAAGCAATGTGTTACTGTAACTTGAATTTCAAAATGACTGAGTGACGTTTTTTTGACGCACTGGTCAACTCCACCGTAGCGAATCACATGATTTTGACATAATAATATATTACAGTAAATACGAGCGAAACATATCTTTATAAGTAAAGAATTGTCGCATAAAAATTAAATACGCAGTAATGGCAAAGTTCACGAAGTCTAGTCTGATTAATCATTTTACAAAATTTTTTTTTAAAAAAGTGCAAGCAAAGAGGGGGGGAGTACGCCCTCTACGCTCCCTCTGGATCCGCCACTGGTATTTGGCACAACTTTTTGGAATTTTGGGTCATCAATGCTCTTTATCTTTAGGCCTGGCACCTTTGATAACTATTAGATTGTCATAATGTTATATTGTATTGTTTATTTGTGTGTTTTTCTGTCCTGTATGTTCTTCCATTTATGTGTGTGTGTGTGTGTGTGTGTGTGTGTGTGTGTGTAACGTTACTGTCTGAAACACAAGTCTGTCATAATCATATCTAAATTCGTACTAATAATTTATTGAAGCTTTAATACAAACACAAATCTTAGGACACTTGCTTTTTGGTCCTTCTTTTGCAATTTTTGCATCTGTACTCAATTTTGCCAATATATAATCAAAATAGCAGTTAATTGAGATATCTTTTGACTGTTTATTATGTTGTATTCTGTGATCAAATATACTACCAGAATCTACATCACGACATGAAGCTGTGATACTGTGAATTTAAGTAAAGATTGAAAGAGTTGAAGATGATCCTGTAATAAATTTACTAGTCCAAGTAATTTCCAAATAGCAATCCTATTTTGAATTTAATCAATGTACGGAATTACACATCAAGGTGTACGGAAATACACGACATCCGTACGATATTAGCCACAGTGACTTTTCTGCTCGATATGCTCATTCTCTGTATTTTACTTTGAATGGCAAGGAAAAAGTCAAACATTAATACTATCTACGATAGATCTAGTAACCGGTTTCCTTCTAAAATATTGAAGTATCAAACAGGGAACCAAATGACATTCATTTCGGACCAAAAGTGTACGGAATTACCGGACCGACTCTATCTAGAAAACTTGTGTTGCTGGATTGTTACGGATCATTAATGTTAATCCCTTTCTATGCATAAGTATGAAGTTGTGTAGTTATCTAATGCTAAGTAAATTAATTACCTTTACTGATATGTTTTATTCTTTCAATTTTCAAGTTTTTGAAAGTGTTTAGCAATTTTGAAATGAGACTTATTTGACTTAGAAGGTATATAATCTTAATGCTATTTCTGATCTTGCCAATGGATGAAATTGATTGTTATTCCTTAAAGTAGTTGAAGCTCATAATGGTAAGATTATCACAAGCCCATTAAATCCGTTGAATTTTTTTACACTGAAAAAGGAGTATTTTTTTACAGTCTACTAATTTTTGCTATTATTTCAGTGGTTTTATATTTTGACAAATGTGTTTAAAGGGAGATAACTCAAGAAAAAACTTACTATAGACATTGCTTCTCTGAACTGTTTCATTTGCGATAAACACTGGTATAACTTGTACTTCACATCTACTTCTGATGTCACATCCTATAAATTTATATAATATAATTAACAAGAAAAGCTAAAATCGTGAAAATTGAACTTGAACTTCATTTAGTCACAGGAAACAACATATCTAAATTTTTGAAAAAATTTCGTCAAAGCGTTTTCATATTAATGAACAGACACTGTTTGGCAGCCGCCCGCCATACATTCCCCAATCAATAACTGATTTTTCCTTCGAAAATCCGGTTAAAAATTACTTAAGCACCAAAGTTGAAACAACTGTCAATTCAAAAATTTTGTATTTTTACAATACTTGAACAATATACCAAATGAGAAATTTAATTATTGCGATTTCATGAAATGCTGCATATAAATATTTCAATCAAATTTAAAATGCAATTTTTTTTGTTAAACCTATTTCATTGCAATTTTTGCATTACTAAAAACATCGAAAAAATTTGCTTTCTTGGATTTATACCATAATCTCTATTAATTAGAAATTACTAGAGTTTGAAAAATGAACTGTTGACTTTAGCATTTTTTTTTGTAAAATATTGAAAGACCGACTATGCACTGTCTTTTTACTGAAATTTTGGTGAATGTGAAAAAGAAGGGCTTTATGTACAAAAATGAATAATCTGAAAAAAAATCAGAAGGTTAAGAGTTCACATAAAATGATAAATAACCACTGATTAATTCTGCAAGAACTGCCAAAAAAGGTAGACACTGTTGTACTTAGTGGCAGTTATCAAAATTGGTTTTAAGTTGTAACTAAAATTTAAACTCTTTGTTTTAAAGATATATATAAAATATGTCAATTTGTGTAATTGTTTCAGAATGAGTACTGACATCCTTATACTCTTATTAGTAGAAGGTGTATAAAATTTACTTGAGAAGGTTGGACAGGTGTGGTGGCAGTTATCTTCCCTTTACTCTTATTAAGTGCCTTCTTCAATAACAGAGCCTTTTTATAAATATTCTGAAAATGAAAAAAGAGCATCAAGTTATATAAATTATATAAAGGTATGCATAAATCTAATAAACTCATATAGAATTTTTCAATCATTATTCACATGGACCAAACAAGATTGTCAATGTATGCTATATATACAGACCATAAATTTGTAATATCATATATGTGCTAAAAATAAAACACACAAGAAAAGATTAAGCCAAATTAAAAATAGTCATATATATTTCAATTCCACTAAAACACACCTACATTAATTATATAAAGAAAATTTTGCATGTATTGTATGGGGTCAACAAATAAAATTATGTTGTCACAACAACTAATGAATTTTATCATGCCAAAAGTAAAATATTTTATTGAGTGAAAGAGTTAAAACTTTACATATATAATGTATAATATATAATTTTGCTTTCTCTACCAAAACACTGGACAGCCAATCTTTATCAACGTAAGTTACACACATTGTTGATGGCCTTACAGTGATCTGCACTGGTATACATCCATGTCCTTCTGTCTTTGGTGGATAGTTGTCTCATTGGCAATCATGCCACATCGCCTTATCTTTATATATAATGTGTTGCTAACATACATGTACATGTACATTCAGGGAGCTAAATAATTGATTTACATGTATTTGTTACACTAATTCATACACTTGAACACATATTTTTTCATCAACAGAACTGTCAAAGTTCATGATGTCTGCTTCAAGGAATGTACATTATCTGAGTTTTGAGAGAGATCTGTACAATTATACAAATATATGCTGTGTTTATGCCTTCTGCACCAAAATCTTTTCCAACTACTAGTCCGAAGACCAATATTCAGACATTTTTCTTATGTGTCTGAACCAAGTTTTGCAAATACTTACTAGTCCTAAAAATATTTTACTAGTCTGGGGCATCGGACTAATGGCTAATTGTGCAGACTGTTTACATTAACAATGACTCACCTCTGCCTTCAAAAATTCTCCAAGGTGATACAGAGAGTTTCCATAGTAAACCATACACTGGTACCTCTGAGATAAGGAGAGAACTTCTGTGTTTGAGTTGTTATCACACAGCGATATCACAATGCATGACTACAAAATAAATATTTACAAAACGCCTAATTTATTAATATCACAATCGGAAATAAATAAATAAGTCCTTTACATACATGACATAACATAGCTTGGTATCAAAATTATTCGAGTACTGGTATATATGGTTACCAAATAAAAAAAAAGTTAATTTGTATTTGCATTAGCAACATGATGGGAGCATGTGCACTGTTCCAGAAGGCTAAGCAGTTCGGGGCTGCACCTGACACCACCCTAGTTTTGTGTAAAAAGGATTGTGTTGCTCTTTCTTTAGTTTGAAGTTTTGTTATTTGTGCTTTTTATTTTTTTTATGCCTGTGTTGTTTATACTGCAGGTACAAGTCTTGTGTATCTTTTGTCAAGAAAACAGAACTTCAAACAGTCAAACAGTAGACGAAGACTCCTGTGCTGTTTTTATAGTGTATACATCGATGCAGGATGTTTCGGCCACAGCCGTTTGGGCCATACTGCCAGTTCATCCGTACTTTGTCAAGTTGTTTCAGCCAAGGTCTTTATTAGTATAAAATATAATTTCAGAAAAACAAAGGTTAACATTTTGTTTTTGTTTGATATAATTATTACTTTTTGTTTGGTCATATATTTTCTATATTATCAATTTTACCAGTTTTATTTGTTTTTATGGACTATACCTTTTTTACCTTTTTGTTAAGTAAAATTCCCATTCAAAACAAGCTTCTGTCAAACCAAATAATGCCCAAGACCAACAAAAATAAAAAGTATGGCCAAACTGGTAGTGTGGCCGAAACGACCAGTGGACGAACTGGTAGCCTGGCATCCTGAGCCAATCTGAAACTTCGCCATTAGGGCCAGGCATAATACAATCCATGTGACCAACTATCAGCGCTGAACAGGACTGAATTACTGCGCATGTGCATGTGTTATAAGCAAAGAATATAGCTATCGGATCGTTAATTAACAGTTGATTCCCGATGTTAAACATAATGTTTGAATTATATATGCTAAATCTTTCGAAATTTGCATTTCATATGAAATGAAAAATAATTTTCAATGAATTTGTGACAATATAAATATTTCCTGCCATGTGTCAAGAAATTACGCTATCCCACGATGCATCATTCTAACATACAATTGATGAAACCATGTTGTTGTATTCTGCCTGGCTCTACTGTCAAGCAGTGAGCCAGGATCCCATGCTAACACACTGGTAGTGTGACCAAAAGGTCTCCATAGCGTATACATGTACGTAGTGTTATTGTGGAATTGTTCGTATTTTCAGTTTTTAGGTATTTTTTGCCATGTAGTAGTCAGATTTTCTTCGACTTAGTTTGTAACACAGGCACTTATTTTTTATCGATGGGAAGGTAGACTTTCAAGGGAGCGTCTTTTTACCACAGAACACCACAGAATACCACAGAACACCAAAAATATACCACAGAACTTCGAAATATAAATACTTCAGACATTATATTATTGTTATTGTTAATTCTTTTTGTAATTTGACATTTATTATTCAAATAAATTTAATTTTTCTATTTAGGGTCGACTCACTATCGCTAAATTGTTTTTAAAAGATTTTTATGAAATATAGTTTAGTATCTCAAAGGTCATGAAGGTCTCCAAATATAAAAAAATCTACCTAATAACAAAAAAAGTTATGATCATTAAAGAAATGTATATCTCATCCGGTCAATCATCCTGTCATTTGTGTAGCCCGAATTATAAAAATAATATAATTCTGAATTATTAGTTTTGCATTTTGTAAAGTAATTCAATGTTCTGTGGTATATTTTAGTAGTTTTCTTGTATTTTGTGTAGTTCTGTGGTATATTTTGGGTGTTCTGTGGTATTCTGTGGTGTTCTGTGGTAAAAAGACGCTCCGGATTTCAATATTTAATCCAATTTACATTGATAGATATTCCCATTGATAGAAACAAGTGTCCGTGTTTTAAGGAATGCATTGGCCTTGTTTAGTGTAATGCATTTTTATCCTAGTATCCTCAATATACATACAAGCTGTTTAAGATCATAAAATAGCTCAGATTCGTGCAAAAACCGCACATGATCAAAAAGATTCATTTTCCTCTACTATTTATTGTTACGACTTCCTTCTCTCGGGTTTCTCTAATTTATTATCGATTAGGCTCGAAAAAATCTGCATTCTCCGAGGGAAAGACGATCTCTATGGTACTCGGTAAAAGTGGTAACCCGAACCCGAACCCGAACCGGAATTTGCCGGAAATTTGCCGAACCGGAAATTTATTTTACATATATTATGCCCTTTATGTTTCGTTTTTTTCTACAAACGTTTATATATTTGATGTATAATTAAATTTTATCTCATGTATGAAAAGGTTTTTTTCCAAACATCACTAGCAATGATAAATTTAAGGTTTATTAATTTCCACCTCGGTAAAAGTGGTAACCCGAACCTAAAAGTTTTTCTTAAACCAAACCTTAATCTGCCTAAGTGATTAAATTCGCTTTCTTATTTTATGTCCCAAATGTAATAATCTTTCATATTTGACTTGAAATTGTTCTTACAACTTTGCCAAAAACTTTTTATCGTGGAAATTACCAAAAAATTGGTCGCCCGAACCTGAAAGGGAGAGAACTCCATTTTGTATTTGTATTTTTGGGTCGATTATGACGCTACTGGTTAACTCGGCCTATACCAAATTCGGACCATTACTTCGGCCTATGATTGATGATTGTGTTTTCTGAATTATTATTTCTTTTTTTTCTATATAGTTTTTGTTTTGTCAAAGGAAGCAGGACAAATCGCCCCACTGGCAAATCGCCCCACACCAAATCGCCCCACTTTTTCACTAACTCGCCCCACTTTTAAAAAAATCGCCCTAAACTGGTTTACCAACTCGCCCCACTTTTTAAAAAATCGCCCCACTTGTGAAAAGGGTTAAATCCCGTTATTTTTTCTCCTGCCAACTCGCCCCACTTAATGAAAAAAAGGTAAAATCTAGATGAATATATAATTTTCAGGTCTGCCAACTCGCCCCACTTAAATGAAAACTTATCTACAAATAATACATAAAAACGCAAATTTATTAGATTATTATTATTGAAATTAAATGATGTTTCACTTTCTCAAAATATAGTTGTAAATACATTATTCATTATCATATAATTTTCGTATTATTAGAGAATAACTTTATTCTTGTAAGCTTAGTTATTTACATAACAATTGAAAAGAAACCTGTTAATTGTATCATAATCCGATATTTTATCATAAAAATTGAAGGATTTCAATTTGTTTTTATAGCACTAAACGGATTGGTTACTTTTGTCTTTGAATTAAGAATAATTAAACACTAACGAGCAATCAGTGAAAGGCAAATGTTACTTTCAAGTAAATATCAAAGAGAATGTCCATTCATGCATTCTAGTCAAAGCAGGTTTTGTTGTTGTTGAAAAATTGATTGGTAAGTTTTGTTTATGGTTTGAAAACAATAAAAATTGAGAAATGTATTGCTTGGTTTCAAAATTATAAAAAGTAAAGTAGCCTTTGTCATGCATTTACAATGTCTACTGTGTATCCTTGTGCTGTATTGAAGGCAGCATATCTACAACCAGACTCTTACGCCAGTGTTGTCGTGTCAACGGTCCAGTCGTGGAAGCAGACAGCTACTGAACTATCTAATGACAATCTATTGTATGCCATATATGAGTATTCATGTTCATAGTTTCTAGTGCTGACATTTTATCTAGTACTTCGTTTTATGTTATCATGCCAGTCCTTGTCATAATTGATTTAATCAGAGACATATAATACATTATATGTCTCTGATTTAATGTATGTTTGTTTGTTTGTTTAAAATGTTATTGTTATGCATACTCATGTTTATCTAAGGTTTTTATAGGTACTGATTTTATTTATAAGTGGGGCAGGAACATAGATATACAACGGGATTGCATCTTTTTTCATAAGTGGGGCGAGTTGGCATTACTGAATTCATCGTGGTTTATCTATTTGTCATGAGTGGGGCGAGTTGGCATACCTTATTTCAGCGGGATTTTAACCCTTTTCATAAGTTGGGCAAGTTATCCAACCTATTTTCAATGGGATTTTACCCTTTTTCATAAGTGGGGCGAGTTGGTCAACAAGAGTGGGGCGATTTTTTAGAAAGTGGGGCGAGTTGGTGAAAAAGTGGGGCGATTAGGTGTGGGGCGATTTGCCAGTGGGGCGATTTGTCATGGATTCTTGTCAAATAGATAGAAGTATTAATTGTTTTAGATTATTGACTGTAATGTGGGTTTTTTCTGGGTTTTTTTTCTTCGATTAATGAAAAAATAAAACATCCAGTATTTTATGGTTATGATACTTGGTTAAACCTAATACAAAATAATTAAAAGATTTTTTCCCCCAGAAACCGTAACTATCTACTTGTTTTATGTCATAAATGGATTCAATTTTTTGTGTGTGTTTATTTTGAGATTTAAATGTGATACTCGATTTTTTATGTTTAATTTATTTTAAAACTTCTATAAGAATGAATTGCTTAATATATGCCGGTGATATTATTCTGTTATCGTCCACTGCAAAGGCCTAACTTATGACAGAGATAGTAATGCCTGGTATCTGACCTTTTGTGGTAGAGAAATCTGGTCACTGTTAATGCAAATACAGCAAGATACTCAGTATCACCATACAATTTATATTCACATCTAATAAGCGAAAAACTGCATGTAAAGTTTTGAAAATAATTTTTAGGTGACATAAAAATAGTATAAAATTGTTTTATAAAAAGACAATAAACCCACTTATTCATGGTATGGTATCAATATTTCTGACCTGACACTACGTACTTTTTATTGCTTAATTCTTTAGAATTTAATATGCAATGTTTCGGGTTCTTTCGGGAGTATTCCCAGGTAAACCCTCATCAGAGGCCGACCTTTAGCTATTTATTTCGTATCTAGTATCATAGATAGATGTGTGTCTGTTTCATAACAGTTTTTTTTTTTTTTTTTTTTTATTTAATTTATTAACTACACGTGCATATAGGTCTACGTTGTAGCTAGTCTTTTTACAGACTAAAGAAACTGACCAAGTAGATCAGCACCTTTGGTTAATTATTCATATATATAACGAAAAGACTTATTGTCTTTATTCTCGTAATCTAATCTATCATAAATCTACACGAGATCTAATAGTTAGTAGTTATCAGTGCTATACTGTTGAATTCACACTAGACTGCCGTGTATGTTTTAACACCTATTTGATAATATACCAATGTCTCCATGTTTAACAATTGAAGAGGTTTGTGTAGATACCATGTCGGGTCTATGCATGAATATAACAGGAACCATTCTGTTTTCCCTTGTACGTGATCTCTTGAAATAAATCGGCATCACGTCTTTTTACATCTGTTTCACAGTATAATGATTGTATTCTAAAGCCTCCCGTGGTGGGGTATTGTGAATCAATGTCTTCGGCTTAATGATTAATTATCATGTTGCCAATATTCTTATTGTTTTTTAAACCAATATCTGGTTTGGATTTAGATAGTTTTTTTTTTTTTTTTTGGCAATTCATCACTGTTTCATGTCAAACCTTAGACGGAAACATGAAAATTAGCTACAAACTAATATGATTGTCAATGAACTATGGAAGTTATACTATTATACTAGCAAACAACCTTATGTCATCACTATATCATAGTCCTAAACATACATGAAATATTTGCCACTGGATGCTAAGCAACCAACAATCTTTAATCTATCGCTGTATCATGCCAAACCTTATAAGGTAGCATGGAAACTTACTACAAACTAATATGATTGTCAATGAACTAAGGAAGTTGTAATATTATACTAGCAAACAACCTTATGTCATCACTATATCATAGTCCTAAACATACATGAAATATTTGCCACTGGATGCTAAGCAACCAACAATCGTTAATGTATCGCTATATCATGTCAAACCTTAGAAGGTAGCATGGAAACTAACTACAAACGAATATGATTGTCAATGAACTATGGAAGTTATACTATTATACTAGCAAGCAACCTTATGTCATCACTATATTATAGTCCTAAACATACATGGAATATTTGCCACTGGATGCTGTATCATGTCAAACCTTAGAAGGTATCATGAAAACTAACTACAAACTAATATGATTGTCAATGAACTATGGAAGTTATACTATTATACTAGCAAACAACCTTATGTCATCACTATATCAGTCTTAAACATACATGAAATATTTGCCACTGGATGCTTAGCAACCAACAATCTTAAATTTATCGCTGTATCATGTCAAACCTTAGAAGGTAGCATGTCAACTAACTACAAACTAATATGATTGTCAATGAACTATGGAAGTTATTCTATTATACTAGCAAACAACCTTATGTCATCACTATATCATAGTCCTAAACATACATGGAATATTTGCCACTGGATGCTAAGCAACCCACAATCTTTAATCTATCGCTGTATCATGCCAAACCTTAGAAGGTAGCATGGAAACCTACTACAAACTAATATGATTGTCAATGAACTATGGAAGTTGTACTATTATACTAGCAAACAACCTTATGTCATCACTATATCATTGTCCTAAACATACATGAAATATTTGCCACTGGATGCTAAGCAACCAAAAATCGTTAATTTATCGCTGTATCATGTCAAACCTTAGATGGTAGCATGGAAACTAACTACAACTTATATGATTGTCAACGAACTATGGAAGTTATACTATTATACTAGTAAACAACCTTATGTCATCACTATATCACAGTCCTAAACATACATGAAATATTGGCAACAGGACGTTAAGCAACTAATATCGATAATAATTATTATGTCAAGCCGTTGAAGGTTACATGGAAACTAATAACAAATAAATATGATTGTCAATGAACAACGAAAGTTATACTGTTGTACTAGCAACAGATCGTTGGCGTTTCAATGGGCAGAGTTGCCTCCCTGGAAATATCTGATATTGCTATATTTAACCATAATTATAGACATAAAACAGAGAAATATCCTACGAAAATAATATTAAATTCCACTAAAGAATGAGAATTGATGAATTTAATATATTTAATGAAGAAGGTGAACAAAGTGAACAATTATTTGAAATAGTACATTGTTTTCATTCCTTCTGAAGGTACGAGAATTCTTAGAAACAATAGCAACATGTACTTATAAGATAATCGTTTAAATACGGTCTAAAGTGTAAATGTCTTGCAGATGTCTCCCTAACAAAACAGTTAGGCTGAGTTAACATAGATGCAGACAGCAACTTCGAAAGAAACCAAATAATAGAAAACAAGTGGCAGAAATATCTTGAATATCTTAACACGATAATAACAAAATTTGGTATATAATTCGGAAAGATCCGATTGCCAAAATAATAAATAAAAAATCTATCTAAATCCAAACCTGATATTGGTTTAAAAAACAATAAGAATATTGGCAACATGATAATTAATCATTAAGCCGATGACATTGATTCACAATACCCCACCACGGGAGGCTTTAGTATACAATCATTATACTGTGAAACAGATGTAAAAAGACGTGATGCCGATTTATTTCAAGAGATCACGTACAAGGGAAAACTGAATGGTTCCTGTTATATTCATGCATAGAACCGACATGGTATCTACACAAACCTCTTCAATTGTTAAACATGGAGACATTTGTATATTATCAAATAGGTGTTAAAACATACACGACAGTCTAGTGTGAATTCAACAGTATAGCACTGATAACTACTATCTCTATTAGATCTCGTGTAGATTTATGATAGATTAGATTACGAGAATAAAGACAATAAGTCTTTTCATTATATATATGAATAATTAACCAAAGGTGCTGATCTACTTGGTCAGTTTCTTTAGTCTGTAAAAAGACTAGCTACAACGTAGACCTATATGCACGTGTAGTAAATTTGAAAAAACTGTTATGAAACACACACACATCTATCTACAATACTAGATATAAAATAAATATATAAAGGTCGGCCTCTGATGAGGGTTTACCTGGGATTATTCCCGAAAGAACCCGAAACATTGCATATTAAATTTTAAAGAATTAAGCAATAAAAAGTACGTAGTGTCAGGTCAGAAATATTGATACCATACCATGAATAAGTGGGTTTATGGTCTTTTTATAAAACAAAAAAAAGTTTAGCATCATCTGTAAATCCTGCAAGTTTCTGACATAAACATTGTATCATCAGCAAACAGCAAAATAAACCATTATTCATTTTCTGTATCTCTTTAATACAGTTTCTAGCCCTTTAGATTTTGTAGTTTCTAGAAAGTCTTGCAAGTCAATCAAGAATAAAGAAAACGAGATAGATTAGAGATTCCCCCTTGACTTGCTCCTATATCAAATACAAAAAGTAAGGCAGACTTTTCATTATTATAAACTATGCAAGATTTCGTATCTGATACATATCTTTACAACTCTAAAAAAAAAAATCCGGTTCATGGGTTTTGTAGAAGTTTGAAATACAAAGAGTTTCTAAGTACAAAGTCAACAGCTTTATTTCAAAATCAACAAACGCACAATAGTTGAAGTACTCCGTATTTCTATGAAATATGCACGAAATTTGTCTTTTAACTTTGAAGTATGAAACCGTGACACTTCGAATTCAACCTCACTTGTTTTTAATGATTACACATTTAGCTATAACTATTTTCGATAAGCTTATATAAAACGAAGTTATAATTTTTGTATTATTTTTTGTTTCATACATTTATAATGTACAATTATTATACACCAATTATTTATTACCTTTAATTTAAAACTAATATTTTTTTCTTATTTAGAATTACAAATGTATGGCTTGGTTTGATACAATATTTTCATTTTCGTTCATTTAAATTAACCATTTACTATAAGGCCATTCATTATACGCCAATACTTAATACAGCGGTTAGGACATCCCAGCTTATATAATCATAAGATAGCTTCGATGTGCATGCTAACCCTTTCTGTCAGTCAGTCCTAACTTTATCCAAATCTCTGTCCTAAGAAATCCTTAGGACCTATCTTAGGACAGTTTCGATATTATGTTGATAAAATGTCATAAGTTATGTTCATTTATATTCCGCAATATACCATCTTCATTATATTTGACATTTATCATTCAGAATCAATTGCACGACGACAATTTACTTTTATTTTCCGTTCCACAATAACTTACCAGTAATGATTGGACTGTAAATAGAGAAAAAAAACGATACGGTGATGTGTTATGGAACTATGTTGGCTTTCTATGAAATTCTTTAAACTTTTTTTTATTATATTGTTATTTCCAGTAATTCCATTTATTAATCAATTTATTTATTTATTTATTTATTTATTATTTTTTTTTTATTTATTTGTCCTCTTGTTATTTTTACTGTTTTTTCCTGACAATAATCTTAAAAGTATTGACGTGGTTAAAATCTTTGCAGAGCCCGGGTTCATACCAAAGTCCATTCGGAATCCGGTACGGGTTTATTGCGTTCATTTACCTGTGCAACTATTTCAAAACGAGTTGTCTCCCTTTCGGGTTCGGTTTCCTACTTATTCACTTAGAAATGAAATAAATGGTTGTGTTTTATACAGTTTGAAAAAAATCTTTGTGTTTATGAAATGAAAGATGATATTCATCACACGAAGTCAGAGTGTTCACTCAAGAAATCAGATAATACAGAGAAATAAAGAAAAATAGGTTCCCGAGTTTGGGTTACCACTTTTACCAAGGCGGAAACATAGAAAACTTTTTTTTCAGTCTTTTGCCAATTAAGAAAAAAAGCGTACTCATACATAACATAAAACTTTACATTTTACACCATATCCATTAATTTTTGTAACAAAAATCTCTAAAGAATGATAACAAATCATATTTAAAGATTTCCGGTTCGGCAAATTTCCGGCAAATTCCGGTTCGGGTTCGGGTTCGGGTTACCACTTTTACCGACCACCGATCTCTATCACTTTAGTGTTTATTACTAGTCATATTTTTTAATGGAACTAGAGTAAAAAAGTAACATTGAGCAAAAGAAATGTGTTGAAAAGAAAAATAGAAAAAAATGACATCAATTTTCAGTAAAGAGCAATCAGGATATGTTGTTGTTGGAATAGGAGTCGGTCTTGTCATTGGATGGTTTCTTAGAGGACGTTTTCGTCCTAAATTAGCTGTTTTATCTTCAAAAAATGGTTCAAATGAAGTAATTTAAAGTTACTCTGTAGTCTGTAGACACTTTGAGCTGTTTAAACATCACACTACAAGTGCAGTCTGGGAATATTACACTAACGAAAATGTTAATGAATTGGTGATTCACTGTGCTTAAATGGCTGTGGGTAACTTAAGTTACCCACAGCCCAAGATGGAGCCGTCTGGCTTCAGTAAGAAACTTCTCTCCTATATAATAACAATACAATGAAAACAACACAAATTTTCAGTAATTAAAAAGTTGTATCAATCTTTTAGGGAAACACCGAAACATAAAAGATGATTAAGTACTGCAAAATAAACGATCACATTACGATTTTCGAATACTCTTAGGTCAGATGTCCGTAACTTGAAAACAACTTGTCCGTAACTTTTTCATTATACCAATAGGGATGTCCGTAACTTTAACGGGATGTTCGTAACTTTAACATGATGTCCGTAACCTGGGACATAATATATTATAGTATAATAGTCCCAGCTGTAACTTTCAAAGAATCGATATTCGTAATGTAATAATTAAACATATTATAGAAATTGCATCGAATATAATTATAATCAGAAATAAAGTAGATTTCTAGTATGGTATAATTCTTTTGTGAATACCATGATTTCTTGTATTGTACCCAGCTAATAAACTCGAAATTTTTTTTTAAATTACATGTGTTAGTTTATCTAGTGACATATATAGATACCATGTTTATCACTCAATCAGCCAACACAATGGAACTTCAAAATTTAGCATAAGGAAACGAGTTTTGGACAAAAATCATGACATGCAGCTTATAAATCTCACCACTTCCCACTGCAGATATCACAAAATTCAGATCAAATTACTCAAGGCTTTAAACCATACATTAAAAGTGAACATACGAAAATCACCTTTAAGAGAACAAGTTCAGATGTCAATCCTGAGCGGAAATACATTGACGGAGCTGTCCAGACCCCTGAAAAAGATATTTACGCTTTGATACCAAGTGTTATTGAATCCCTGAGGTCAATGAAACGTTTAGAAGATTTTAAATCTACCTTAATTGCTGTTATAACGGACACCTGTTCAATAATATAGCCTTCCATTTACTTTAAGATGTTGGCATTTTTTTTTCATAACACTAGGTATAGTGGAGACCATACTTTTTTGGCTAACAATTCGGAAATTATTTAAAGGAAACGGTTACAATTTTGCCCGCGGCTACAAAGGCCAAGGACTCAACAGTGAACAATCTAAAGCCAGAAGAATGTAAGATAAATTTCACCGTACCATCATATCTTGTTTTATGTAAACACTCTGCAAAGTATACTTTGGATGCTGCTAACCAGGTTTACTGGATTAATCTATCAACATATTATCTGAAAATCGGGAATAAATTGAAAAAAACAACGGTAAATCCGTAAAACTCAGGTCTGATTTTTTACAGCTATGTTCTCTTTTCTCTTGGTTATTTTGACGCATATCGTAATAGTATAAAACTAGGTAATAAATACGAGATTTGATAGTGTTTATTGTCCTTTAATTGTTGAAATTATCAATCTTACAATTTTGAAAACAAAAGTTACCCACATTCGAAAATAAAGTGACGGACACTCTGATTAGTTTTGACCATTGGACATCTTATGCATTTTTTAAAGTTGGCCTTGTGCTAAAATGAACTCAAAATTAACAAATTTATGGTAATGGTAAGTGATTATTTTATTCAAGAATCCTATGAATATTTACATAGTGCATGAAAAACGTCGCAAAAAGTAGATTTTGTATCAATTATATATCAACGAGTTTAGAGACCGCTATCTTGGGCTGTGGGTAACTTAAGTTACCCACAGCCGTTTAAGCACAGTGTGATTGGTCAAGTTATGACAACATTTAACAATCTTACTAAGATAATGAATTGATAACTTTTGATAATACAATTATTTAAAGGATCACTAATTTTAAGACACTGGCTACCATTATGTTGAAGTGTAACAATAACAAAAAAGTTATCGTTATGTTGGACACTAATTGCCAAAATGCTATGTTGGGTTAGGAACCGATTAATTACAAACGTAACAATAATAATTGTGCCACAGCTACGTTGGTTATTGTTATGTTAGGGAGCTACCATTTGATTTTTAGGGGGGGGGGCTAGGAATAAAAATTTTGTCCTGCATTTTTTTTTTTAGTTGTAATCTCTGTCCTGCCTATTTATTTTTCACTCTATTCGGTCCTGCCTTTTTTTTATTAGTTTATCCTGACTTTTTTTACATAAATTGTCATCCTGCCTTTTTTTTTTTTGCAAAGTTGCTCATCCTGCCTTTTTGTTTACTCAAAACTCCTGTCCTGCCTTTTTTTTTTATATTTCATCCTAGCCCCCCCATTTAAATCAAATGGTAGCTCCCTTAGATTTTTTAGAATTTTAACCGACATATTTTTTGTTTTATTATTTTTCCATTACAGCCATTCTAAGCTATATATATATAAATATTTATTCAAGATAAAAGGCATGAATTTGACACACAAATGAAATAAAATGACATATAGATATATCACTAGACATGAATTGTTACAAACACTAAAATGATTTACATGTGTACTAAAAATTATGATTTAAAAATGAAATTATGGAAATTGTCATGATATTTTGATAATAGACTAGATTATAATGAGTGAATTATATGGACTAGATTATCACTGCAGGCTTATACTTTAGAATGGCCCACAATGGTTATTGAAACTTTATTTCCAGTGGGGTCCTTTTAAGAAGAGACTTCCAGTTCACACCAAAGGTTGACACATAAAAAATAACAAAAATCATTAAAAATTATCACAGATAAATGGTCAAAGCCTCAGTAAAATTAATATAAAACAAATTCACTATTAAAGATGGATTTAAATTTATCCATCAAAAATGTTTTACCTTGTACATGTTGTACTTAAAAATTATATTTCTTTGAGCAACTTTTAACTATTTCTGTTAATGAGTTCCAGTCTTTTATTCCATTATAAAAGAAAGTGGTAGATCATGATGCACACCCTTTAATTCCTGGTATTATAAAAATTCTTATTACTAGATCTTGTATTGAAAGATGTTTCATTTCTAACAAAATTAGTATGCAAATAATTTGTGCATATATTTCTTATATATGAGTCTTAGTTCATGTAGTTGTTTGACTCTATAACTAATATTTAAAAAACCCAATTTCTCAAATTCAATATATGTCACACACTTTCTAGGATGTAATTGCAGAATAAATCATACACCCTTATTTTGTGCCACTTGAAGTTTATTCTTCATTTGTTTTGATAAACCTTCATACCAGCATGCATATGCATAATCAAAATGACATTGAATCAGAGAAGAGCACAATGTTTTCCTAGATTGAAAATAAAGACACTCTTTTGTTTTTATGTAAAAACTTAAGCCTTTCATCAGTCAGAGCTCTGACATACAAGTCAGAATAAAATGACTTCTTCAAGTCAGAAAGTGTTTTGAAATTCTGACCTGTACGTGTCAATTTTTGTTTTGCGTAGTTTTCACTCGTCCCCCCCCCCCTTTTTCCCTTTATCTGAATCTGCTACTGTTGAGTTAATTAATCATGTTAATTGATAAGTTTTTTTAGAAACAATTCAGTCAAATGGTCTTTAAAATAATATTTTTTACAACCAAAAGTTCCATGTGTTAACTTAACAGAAAAGAAAAAGTCATGAAAATACAGAAATAGAATAAAATTTTAAGATAATTTGATGAAACTTGTAAACAAAATACATTTGAATATTACATATACCAAACAAACTTTTTTATAGTCCTCATTATTGTGACTTTATTATTGGGTGTCTTTTATCTGTTTTTCCCATACATTCTTAAATGCATATGACAATGCCAGACTTAGAAGTTGCAATAATTAGTTAAAGTATAGTTTTTGACTAACTCTTTGAAGTCAGAACATAATTTGACCTGTTTAAAACAAAATACATTTAAATATTGAATATACCAAATAAACTTTTTTATATAATCCTCATTATTGTGACTTTAGGGGACCTTATTTCCTCTGTTTTTTATCTGGCTCTCCCATACATTTTTAAATCAATATGACAATACTAGACTTAAAAGTTGTAATAAGTTTAGTTTTGACTGACTCTTTGAGGTCAGAACATGATTTGACCTGTTAAAGTCAGTTTACAGAACAAAATTTCCAATCAAAGCTAGGTGTACTTCCTTTAATCCAAGAAAGTCCTTGCTTTCAGACTGCTTCTGAATCTGCCATTTTCGAGTTTATTATTTGATAACTTTTTAGAAACAATTAAGTCAAATGGTTATTTATTTTAGGGGATCTTACATATATTTCCTGTGTCTTTTATCTGACGTTCCCATACATTCATTTAATATCATATGGCAATGCCCGGCTTAAATATTTCAATAAATTTATTTTAGTTTTGGACTGACTCTTTTAAGTCAGAACATGATTTGACCTGTTTAAAACAAAATACATTTAATATTGAATATACCAAATAAACTTTTTTATAGTCCTCATTATTGTGACTTATGGGGACCTAATTTCCTCAGTCTTTTATCTGGCTTACCTATACATTTTTAAATCAATATGACAATACTAGACTTAAAAGTTGTAATACGTTTAGTAAGTCAGAACATAATGTGACTTGTTTGAGTCAGTTTGCACAACAGTATTTACCTCAATGAAATATTAAAATAATAAATGTTTTGCTCTTAATACATTTAACTTAAAGTGGATGAGAATATATCTTTTATTAACATAGTCTTATCATGAATAAGTGTCTTGTTTTTCCTTGGAAGATTTGAAGTATTGTCATGGTACTAGTAAATGTATCCAATATTGTATTTTGTAAATCTTTTGATATTCAGAAAATTGTATGATCCATTTTTTCTCACCTGGTTGTCGAGCCTTCGACTTTTGTCGAAAAAGCGAGACATAGCGATCCTACATTCCGTCGTCGGCGGCGGCGGCGTCCACAAATATTCACTCTGTGGTTAAAGTTTTTGAAATTTTAATAACTTTCTTAAACTATCCTGGATTTCTACCAAACTTGGACAGAAGCTTGTTTATGATCATAAGATAATATTCAAAAGTAAATTTTGTAAAAAAAAAATTCCAATTTTTCCGTATTTTACTTATAAATGGACTTAGTTTTTCTGCCAAGAAACATAACATTCACTCTGTGGTTAAAGTTTTTGAAATTTTAATAACTTTCTTAAACTATCCTGGATTTCTACCAAACTTGGACAGAAGCTTGTTTATGATCATAAGATAATATTCAAAAGTAAATTTTGTAAAAAAAAAAATTCCATTTTTTCCGTATTTTACTTATAAATGGACTTAGTTTTTCTGCCAAGAAACATTACATTCACTCTGTGGTTAAAGTTTTTGAAATTTTAATAACTTTCTTAAACTATCCTGGATTTCTACCAAACTTGGAAAGAAGCTTGTTTATGATCAAAAGATAGTATCAAGAAGTAAATTTTGTAAAAAAAAAATTCCATTTTTTCTGTATTTTACTTATAAATGGACTTAGTTTTTCTGCCATGAAACATTACATTCACTCTGTGGTTAAAGTTTTTGAAATTTTAATAACTTTCTTAAACTATCCTGGATTTCTACCAAACTTGGAAAGAACCTTGTTTATGATCAAAAGATAGTATCCAGAAGTAAATTTTGTAAAAAAGTAAAAAATAAATTCCATTTTTTCCGTATTTTACTTGTAAATGGACTTAGTTTTTCTTCCAGTTAACATTACATACAGTCTGCACTTTAAGTTTTTAAAACATTTATTAGATTGATAAACTATCCTGGATTTTTACCAAACTTGGACAGAAGCTACTTACAATCAAAAGATAGTATAGAGAGGAATATTTTTATTAATTTTTTTCCTCATTTTTGTTGAGCCTGCGATTAACAGCAAAAGTAGGCGAGACACTGGGTTCCGCGGAACCCTTACGAATTTTTTTTCTTTGTATTTTGAAATAATTGAAAGTGATGAGATAAATATATTATGTTTAGATTCTGGAAAGGAGAAGGTATGATGTCAGATGAGCCCCACTTTTTAAAACTCTTTAATTCGAAACTAGTAATCACCATATTTTTATGGAGATTGATAACAAAGTGGTAGTAGTGACTGCTTCAAATCAGAACAAAAATGACCTCTCGAAGTCAAAATGCATTAAAAAGGGGCATAAATCTTATTAGAATATGAAGATATTAAGTCACAATATTTTGTGCAAAAGCTGACCTGTGGAAGTCATTTTATGATAAATTAAAGTCTGACATAAACTGACCTGTACAAGTCATATTCTGTTGAGTGCAAGAAGGAAGACAACACTTACATCAAATTATATCTGACCTATGGAAGTCATTTTATTCTGACTTGTTTATTGTCAGTTAACCAATCATGGCATGACTCCAGCATTCTGGATAATTTATGCGAGATGACCCCAGGGTCTATGTGGGAAAATAAAATTGCAGTATCATCTGCATATATATAAAAACTTTACAATCTCAGTCAATGCTAGTTTGAACATCATTGACATAGATCAAAAATAGTAGTGGACCCAGTAGGCTGCCTTGATGGACACCACATGTAATATTACACACTTCTGAGTTACCCCATTTACACTTACAACCTGTTTTCTGTTTGTCAAATAGGACTCAAACCAAGGTATAGATCTAACACCAATAACTTTTAATTTGTCTTGTGATCTACTGTGTCAAACGCCTTCTGTAGGTCTTATAGGACCATGCCTGTAAAAAGACCTTTAGCGCTGCTGTTTTAATGCGATCTATTAAGTGAAAGAGACAAGAATCAGTTGAATAAGAACTTCTAAATCCTGACTGAAACTCAAATAATAAATTATTTGAAATCAAGAATTTTTCAAGTTGCTTATCACAATGCTTATAGGCAGCATTTTTCTAGAATTTTAGAAACAATACTTCAAATTTATTTGTTCAGTGTATGTTCACTGGTGTTAATATGTCTTTTGATTGAGTTAAGCCATTTCAATTGATATTTTACAGTGTGTCTTCCTATGTTGTGATGTTACACTATTGTTTCAGATAAGGGTGAAGGTTTGGTACCATTAAAACGTTTAAACCCGCTGCAATTGTTTGCACCTGTCCTAAGTCAGGAATCTGATGTTCAGTAGTTGTCGTTTGTTGATGTGGTTCATAAGTGTTTCTCATTTCTTATATAGATTAGATCGTTGGTTTTCCCGTTTGAATGGTTTTACACCAGTAATTTTTGGGGCCCTTTATAGCTTGCTGTTCGATGTGAGCCAAGGCTCCGTGTTGAAGACTGTATTTTGACCTATAATGGTTTACTTTTATAAATTTTGACTTGGATGGAGAGTTGTCTCATTGGCACTCATACCACATCTTCTTATATCTTTTAAAATGCTAATCGGCCTGTAATTTTCAAGCTGGATATTAAAAGCCAAGTTGATAATAACAGCAGTAATGGATGGAAATGAAATGATATTAAAAGACAACATAAAACAACATCACATGTTTCTTACAAAAATTTGGATGAAAATATAAATATTTCAATAATCAAAAAAGACTTTTCACCTGAAGCATGGCAGACATTGAATGCTGGTATAACTTCAAAAAGGGAAATTGCGGAGTAGAACTGTTCAGTCTGCAAAACTGATGTTCACATTGCAGCATCACTCGTTTGTGATGGCTGCCTAGAGTGGTTCCAACAAAAATATGTCAGACTTAAACATGCACCCAGAAGCACATACTGGATGTGCAGAAGCTGTCATTGTAAATAAAATAAAATCTGTATGCAATATATTGTATCATTGAATTGTTTAAGAATAAAAGTTTTCAAGTGTATTTTAATATATTACATACATATGGGACGTACATATATTACTATTTCCAGCATACATTGAAATTAATAAACGTAACAATAACACAACTTAACTGTTGACACAAATATTATTGTTATGTTGGTATTTAATCAGTTCCTAACATACCATTGCCAACCTTTGATTCAGGCAATTAGTGTCCAACTTAACTAAAAAAAAAATTTCAACGTAATCGAAGTGAGTGCCTAAGTTTAAATGGATCATATCTAAATTAGTATTCAAAATTTTTTGAAGCAATTACATCAACTGGTAGATTAGTTCAATTGTTTAATATGAGGCAGTTGTTACCTGTGAAAGAAGGTGGAGTCCATATAACTAACTTTTAAATTGAAAGTAAAGTTGCAGTGGTCAGTTCAACAGTTGAGGTTCATAGTTATGGAATATCAGTGTCACTCATGACCATAGATATGTTCCAGTTGTTGAAGTCATTCTCATATTCTCTTTTCCAAGCTTAAGTCTGAATGAGACTTGACACAGAGTTGTTTACTTTCCATGAGCAATACAGCAGGTGACATATACATGATGTGGAGCAAGATGTGCTTATTCTTCTGCAGCACCTAGCTGATATCACTCCCAGTTTTTTTGTTCATGTTGCTTATTCTTGAGTTTTTATTGTAGTGTTTTGTAGTAATATAGTTTAGTTTAGTCAAGTGGAGATAATTTCTGAAGTTTAAAATTTTGACTCTAGAAGTTGTGACTTTCTGATTTTTCAAAATTTTGTTTTTACACACTCAAAATATTCTGAATTATGTTTATGTACATTGTTTTTTTCAGGCAGTATTTTCTTCAGATAGTGGAGAGTACAAATTGGTGTTTGTTGTAAGGAATGATTTGAAAATGGGGAAAGGAAAAGCAGCTGCTCAGGTGAATTAAAGTTTCTTGATTTATAGATGATTGGTATATATATGGAGAAAAATCTGTTGTCAATAAACATGATAAACTGAAATGAAGCTAAAACATATAAACATATAAAAATAAGGTGTATAAATGTTCACAATATACTAATTATACAAAAGTAGCCAAAACAATCATTACTCATCTGAAAGTTAACACATGCATATTAGAAAATTGATTTTATGACTGGACATGTTAAGTCTATTCCAAATCTCTTATCTCTCCTACTTTTTATTTGAAGAATAGTCTTTATCCAAAGAACTAGTAATTTTATTGATGTACTTGACTTTCATTCACATCATTTGTACTCTGGTGGATAGTTGTCATAAGTAATTATACCACATCTCTTTATTTTTATTTATGTTCATTGTTCTGTTAATTACCTGCAAAAATGCATGTATTTACTTTAGGAGCTTACTTTACACACATACAATTGATGTTAGAGGATACAGGGAGAACAATACATTCTGTATGATTTAAGAGGGGCCTGATGGGGGGGGTCTCATCACGATTCACGAGTTGATATTTTTGTCAATCACGATTCACAGAAAATAAATTTCCATGATCACATGAAAATATAAAAAAAAAAAAATCTGTAGAAAAACGGATCACGATAGCGAAAATGCGCCAATCACGAAGAACGAAAATAACCCATCAGGCCCCTCATTTAAGTCAACACAATTTTCACATGCAATAGAAACAATAATAATATTTATACCTGCATTTAATTACCTCTATATGACACTAATGTTGTAGTGGTTCTTTTTTTTTTTTACCTTATATAGCGGTGACAAAAAAGCAAAAACATATCCCTAAAAAATTATATGAAGAGACAATCAGCAGTTCATAAAAACATTACATAGAAAACTATTTTAGATCAGATGAAAGGACAAGGTAGGAGGGGACCACTTTTTTAGTTCTTAGAATTTAAAATGATTTCTTCATATTTTGACCTGTTCTGTAATTTTAGTATTCACTATAAAACACTGTACTGCAGTGCTGTTATAAATGCTGCAATAATGTCATAAGGCTGTCAGAAAGACTCTGTATTTTTGTCTGTATTGTAGTGCTGTCATGCTGCAGTCATGTCATATGAAGCTGTCAGTAAAACAGACCCAGAAATGTTCAGGAAATGGAGAATGTATGGTCAGCCAAAAGTTGTTGTCAAAACAGAAACAGAGAAATCTTTGTATGTGCTTAAGAATTGTACATGGGAATACAGTACTGTAAATTTAGAAATTATTGCGAGGTTTTTATTAATGCGAATAATGCGACAGGGTAGGTATTGCAAAAATAAGAACTCGCATTCTGATAACTGAAACATAGACCTTTATAAAGATTTTTTCGAAATCACAAAAATCGCAATAATTAAACTCGCATTTTTGTCCATTCTTGAATAATCGCAATAATAAGTGAACGCAATAATTTCTGAATTTACAGTATGTGCTTTAGACAATCAGAGCTCAGACATAAGTCTTTTTTTTTGTTTCTGACTAATAGAAGTCGCATCATGTATTTTGATAAAAATGTGTTTACAATTTTGGACTTGTCTAAGTCAGAAAATGACAGACTTGTCTAAGTCAGAAAATGACAGACTTGTTTAAGTCAGAAAATGACAGACTTGTTTAAGTCAATTTATGCTTCATAAAACAGGATGAAAACACATTATTTGACTTTGGGGTTAAAGTATGTACATCACCTATAACAATAAAATCTTTTCTGAGAATTTACAAGGACCTGAGCTATCTACAAGTAATGATCTGATAGAACAGTTTTTCATTAGATCTATGTTGTTTCTAGCTGTACATCCCATATGTGTTTAGAATGTAACATGTGGTAGAGAACAAAGTTGAAATTACATGATGTTACTCATCACAAACTCATTTCTCATTGAGTGTTTAAAATTGTACTTGCTGTATATTTTAAATACAATGGTGAATAAAAATACAGCTTGTTTTCTGTTCATAGAGTTAAAACCGCAAAACTGTAATCTTCAGTGGCTTTTCCGAGAAAAGCTTTTATGTTGAGTGTGAAATTCTGTTTACCGGGTTTATTGGTTTTGCGTAAATTCTTAGACTAGTACATAATATGTTTGTCCAAGGTAAATTGTATTGTTAAACATGTTAAATATAAGGTATTTTCTTTTCTTTTTTGAATTGTTTTATATTTTGTCATATCAGGGCCTTTTATAGCGGACTTTATGGTATGGTATTGCTTTTGCACATTTTTGAAGGAGGTTCAGTGACATATAATTGGGTACTTCCACATCATTCCAACTGTGGTGAAAAGTTGTCACATTAGCAATCATACCACATCTCCTTATTTTTATGTTCATGAACACGTCTTATTTTTATAAAATATTTGTCATAAAAATAAAATCCTACATGAAAAACATCTTGATATAAAGAACTTTAACATGAATGTTTTTTTTGAGAATTTGTTTGTCTTTTAGATTACAAATAGCAAGAGATGCTAGATCTTTAGGACTTAATGCTAGCTTAGTAAAAGATGCTGGTCGTACTCAGATAGCACCAGGATCTATAACAGTCACGGGTATAGGACCAGGTAAGTGTTTATCAGTGGTAGAAACAAATAAGTATTAATAAATGCTGAAGATGGACTTAAAGAAGGACAAGCAATGAACCAAAAAACTATCAAAGAAACAAAAACTGCTTCCACAAGCTTCAACATGCATGATTTTTAGATAAAAAAGGTATTCCGGTAATAGTTTTAAAAAAAGACTTCAAGCAAAAAAAGAATAATTCATTTGTAGGTTTTCTAAGAAACCTCTAGTAGCATTGCCTGTATGACTAATTTGTGCACTTTTATTTTGTAGGACCAGAAGAATTAGTGAATCAAGTGACAGGACATTTAAAACTGTTTTGAAATTTTTTATTAATTTTTTTGTTATATTAAAAGTTTTTATTTTGATTTTGGTATTATTTCCCTCACCTGTTCAGACAATGGTATTGCTATTTTGGTGTTGATATTGGACTATTTGAATTGTCCAAATATTCAGATTTTGGAATAGGTAAATTTTTATATGACCGCAAAATTTTAGTGGTCGTATATTGGTATCACGTCATCGTCGACGTCGTCGTCCGAAGACACATTGGTTTCCAGACAATAACTTTTGTTTAAGTGTATGGATTTCTATGAAATTTTACCATAAGGTTTTATGACCACAAAAGGAAGGTTGGGATTGATTTTTGGGGTTATGGTTCTAACAGTTCAGGAATAAGTTGGCCAAAATGGGGCCCAAATAAGCATTTTTCTAGTTTCCAGACAATAACTTGTGAAATGGTGGATGGATCTCTTTGAAATTATACCACAAGATACCATATCACAAAAGGAATGGTAAGAATTTGCTTTAGGGGTTATGGCTCAAACTGTTTAGGAATTAGGGGCAAAAAAGGGGGGAAAACAAGAGTTTCCAGGTTAATGGACAATTACTTAAGTACAAAACATAATTTTAAAGCAGTGTAAGGGAGGTAATTCAAACACATATTGTCAAATTACCTCCCTGACACTGCTTGTAAATTATTTATAAAGAAATGTATTGTCTTTAGGTGATTAGCTGTCAATTTATTTTTAGAAGTTACTATTTTAAAAATGTTTAATAAAGGTAATTTAATTATAGCCATGATTATGTATGTGAAGGAATTTTATTTTTAGATATTACTATATAATGTTGCTGATGGAGGCTTTTTAATTTTAGGCATGATTATGATGTCATTTTCTATTTTAAAAAATATTTAATTTTAGCCATGAGTATGTATGTGAAGGAATTTTATTTTTATATATTACTATTTAATGTTGCTGATGAAAGTGCTTTAATTTTGGGCATGATTATGATGTTGTTTTCTATTTGAAGACTTTTATGATGTATTTAAATGGGTTTTTATGGTTGCAAAGTCCTAGCTGTCAATTTATTTTTAGAAGTTACTTTTAAATGCTGATGAAAGAATTTTATTTTTAGATATTACTATTAAAAGTTGCTGATGAAGGTTTTTTAATTTAACCATGACTGTGATGTCATTTTCTATTTTAATACTTTTATGATGTATTTAAATGGGCTTTTATGGTTAAAAAAAAAGCATTTTTCTAATTTCCAGACAGTAACTTGTGATTAAGTGTATGGATCTCTCTAAAATTGTACTACAAAATTGCATACTACAAAGGAAAGACTGCAATTGAGTTTGATGGTTAATACTAAAAGGGGGATTCAAAAAGTTTGGGGGAAAGGGGGGGTGTTCCATTTTTTTTTAAAAGGGTTCATATTTTTTTTTCAAAATTTCAAATTTTTCAAAAGTTTCAAGAAGAAATCTCCAATTGCACAGTATTGTGCATTAGATTTGTAAGATCTTTGACCACATTTATTTTGTGTCAAAAACCTATATTATGTCTGAAATTTGATCACAATCCAAATTGAGATAGTAATATCAAACTTGAATATTGTGTCCAAGTTTGCCCCAACTGTTCAGAGTTTGACCACTGCGGTTGTATGAGGCTGCGCTCAGCGAAGCATTTTATTGTTAGATGTATTTCTATTTGTATCCATCTGATGAGTTAAGTCTTTTTCAATTGAGTTTGTTCTTATGTTGAACTGTTACACCACTGTCCCAGGTTAGGGGGAGGGTTGAGTGCTCACAAACATATTTAACCCCGTCACATTCTTTATGTGCCTGTCCCAAGTCAGGAGGCCGTAGTTCAGTGGTTGTCTTTGGTTCATGTCTGTCATATTTGTTTTTTTCGTAAATTGGTTTGTTATAAATTAGGCCGTTAGTTTTCTCAATTGAATTGTTTCATATTTCTCATGTCGGGTGCTTTTATAGTCGACCATACGGTATGGGTTTTTCTCATGGTTGAAGGCTGTACGGTTGCCAATAATTGCTTACATCAACTTCATTTGAACTTTGGTGGATAGTTGTCTTATGGGCAATCATACCACATCTCCTTATTTGTATATAGTATACAATTTAGGATATTTAGTAACACTGCCAATGAGACAACCTTCAATCAGAGTCCACATGATTTAGATGTTATCAACTATAAGACACTGTATCATGCTGTATGGCCTTCAAGAATGAGCAAAACCCATAGTGTATAATCAACTGTTAAAGGCCTCAACATGACAAATGTTAAACAATTAAAACAAGAAAACTGTCAGCCTGATTTATGCTAAAACAGTAAACACAAAGCAAATATAACAGACAGCAACCAACGACAATCACTGAAGTACAGACTCTTGACTTAAGACAGACACATAAAGAAATCACAAAAATTAGTATTATAACCTTATTTTAAAGAGAAAGTTGGGCACCCCTTTTACATTCAGGTGTGTTTGTTTTTACAGCCTAGTACGAAAAATGTGCCCAAAAAAATGATATGTGTCATCTTGCTTCAGACTCTAATATTTCAATATTTTATTGTTAAAATTATGAAAAATATATATTACTAAAAAATCAAAATTACCAATTCAGGGGCAGCAACCCAACAACGTGTTGCCTGATTAGTCTGAAAATTTCAGGGCAGATAGATTTGACCTAATGAACAATTTTATCCTTGTCAGATTTGCTCTAAATGCTTTGGTTTCAGAGATATGAGCCAAAAACTGCATTTTACCCTATGTACTATTTTTTAGCCATGTCGGCCATCTTGGTTCGCGGGCGGGGTCATCGGACACATTTTTTAAACTAGATACCCTAATGATGATTGTGGACAAGTTTGGTTAAATTTGTCTTAGTAGTTTCAGAGAAGATCTTTGTAAAAGATTACAAAAATTTACGAAAAATGGTTAAAAATTGACTATAAAGGGCAATTACTCCTTCAGGGGTCAACTGACCATTTTGGTCAAGTTGACTTATTTGTAGATCTTACTTTGCTGATCATTATTCCTGTTTACAGTTTATCTCTATGTCACACATTATTTTGGTACTTAATTTTCTATTTCAAACTGTCTTATTATATCGATTTCTATTGTGTACATTTCGTATGCAGCATGCATATTTTATTTATTCAATTGTAACGATCTCGAAATTCGCTATGACTTTAAATGTCCGAAATATTTGTTAACATCTGAAACATGTAAGATTATAAATTTAAATTTGTCAATAACCTTTTAAACTCTAAGCTTATGCAAACATCTTACAAGTTCGTTATGCAACTTTTATTCGGTCATATCAAATACACACATAATTCAATTGATTGATGGATTGATCACCTATCGTAATTCTCTTTGATGAATTAAATCACTTAATTATATAATTTCTGTTTACAACATGACCCCAACAAACTGTGTTGTTATAGCAACTTTATTTGGTATTTAAAGAAAGATAAATTTATATTCAAGGACTCCGTTTGGATATGCCAACGAGAGCACATGAACTGCGTTCGGATTTTCCATCGCAATCATATATATTGTTTTTCGTTTAAAATAACTAATTTGTAACACTGATATCTTATATTTGGACTTTATTAAATGAATTTGGACTTTACCAATTTGTTTATGTTTATTGTGATGAACTGCCGACTTGTGTGTGAATAAAGAGCTAGTACCCCGCATTGTGAATCGTTCCCATAGACGGGATCCTACTCAAAGCCATTCCGGCAATATTTATTATAGAAAGTGATAAATACTTTTTCATATCTATCTATAATAATATTCAAGATAATAACCAAAAACGGCAAAATTTCCTTAAAATTACCAATTCAGGGACAGCAACCCAACAACGGGTTGTCAGATTCATCTGAAAATTTCAGGGCAAATAGATCTTGACCTGATAAACAATTTTACCTCGTGTCAGATTTGCTCTAAATGCTTTGGTTTCAGAGATATAAGCCAAAATCTACATTTTACCCCTATGTTCTATTTTTAGCCATGGCGGCCATCTTGGTTGGTTGGCCGGGTCATTGGACACAGTTTTTAAACTAGATACCCCAATAATGATTGTGGCCAAGTTTGGTCAAATTTGGCCCAGTAGTTTCAGAGGAGAAGATTTTTGTAAAAGTTTACGGACGCAGGACGACGGATGACGGACGCCAAGTGATGAGAAAAGCTCACTTGGCCCTTTGGGCCAGGTGAGCTAAAAAAAGGATACACCATGCTGGATGTTAATAGTCTTTTTTTTTCTTTCTTTCTTATGACTGCTTCAGCGCGGGACTTGGTAGGGCGTAGCCGATGGCGCTGCTCAATAATGATCAATAATGCGATTTAGAGTTGGCTCTCACTGTTTTGTAGTGAACGATTGGCGATCGACGTGATGATGATGACGTAGACGACTATCAGTTGACAGAAATAGACGATTTTCGACAAGAATTCTGTTGCCCATCACCTCCCATTGCTGCGCTTTGCGTGCTTCTTTCGCGTTCCATTGTCCTCTTCCTTCTTTGTCACGTCTTCCTCTGATGAATGTTTTCACTTTGCGGTCGAGATGAACAGTGCTGAATACCTTCAATTCAAGATGTCACTGAGAGATCGTCAAGCATAACGTTCTCTTACGAATTGAACGCAGTAAACTTCTCATGTATCTTCCGGCTGAATCCTGTCTGACATGAAGAGATATTGGGGACCTTAGTTTTCCAGGACGAATTCGAATCGACGACCGAATGTACTCGGACGGTTTCCTGTCTAATCGAAAAATTCAGGTGGTTCTTTTCTCTGGAAATGAAATACAGTCCAGTGCATACTTGATTTCGAACATGGATCGGTGTTGACGACGTTTGCCTTATGTCTTCTTCCGATATAGGCAGGCAATTCGTCGGAACATCTCACTCTGACGGGATAGTCTTTCCAATAGAGGTCGGTCATTTTAAAACGTATCCACTCATATTAGATACGTTGACGTAAATGTATCTGGAGATACAACAAAACACAATATTTGATCCCAACTTTAAGTCTATGTTGCGTACAAAAACTCTATTCGAGCTTC